TTCGGGGGGCGGCTGGAAGGAGTAGAAATTGGCCAAATAGAGAGAGATAACATGCCGGGGCGGTTAACTCTACTGTCTAGCGGACCAACTCCCCCGGCATGTTATCTCTCTCTATTTGGCCAATTTCTACTCTTTCCAGCCGCCTCCCGAAGCCTGGTAGAAGCTATCTGCTTGGCACCATAAGCACTAGGTGTTTGTTTCTAGGAATCGAACCCCCGTCGCGGATGACACTATGCATGGAAAGAGGAGACGAGTTTTCTAAATGGCTGCGGTTAAATTGAGTTGTCATGGGCCGTATGTGACAGGGGAGAGACAGTGTTCGATGTCAGCGTGCACAATAAAAAAAAACTGCAACCATGGTTCAAGAAATAAATATCCAATGTTCTACTACAAAAGACAAGAGTAGATCTTACTATAGTACTGTGTGTAAAAAAAAAACATTGCTAGAAAACTTCACGACATTCCCTTTAACGTCTGCTTGGAGCTTAAAATACCCTTTCAATAGAAAATCCCAACTAAGAAAGTCGCGAAGAATAGGCTATTACCAACAAAGGGACAAACTCAGGACCACACGCGTGGCGTCTAAAAATACACCCATACTTTGTCTGAACTGAGTCCTGATATCTTTCGGTAAACTTTGGCTATACATACTCTTGCCCCCAACTTAACTTCACTGTTTACTTCGTAGATTTAAATACTGTTAAGAACCGAGCAATGCCTCTTTTGGTTCGGTAAGTCTCGGCAAACTCCGTAATCCGAGTTGAGCCGAGGGAAGAAATTCTCGAATGTCCCCGAGTACTGTCTATGTTACCGCCAACCTGCTTACGGATTATTGTTTGAGCGTCTCGCTCCCACATAGAAGGATCTTTCGTGTTTATTTTGTTCCTCCGTTGCACATGATATGTCAACCTCAAGCAGATATTATGGTGGCTACAGTAGACAGTATCAATTTTGCAAGACAATATTATTGGCTGGGCAACATACAATATGGCTGGCGAAAAAAAAAACACGCCGAAAATAAACCAAAGCCTATACCTCCGCTTTGAGAGTATATTGTAAAACATTATAAAACGTCGCATACGTATTACAAGAGTGACATCTGGTAGGATGTGGCCAATGTTGTACATTGTTGTTTGCTGGACGTTGGCAATATGTAATTGGCCATCAGTACATGCACCTGCTATCTACAACATGTTAGTTTTCGTTTTGTAGTTGGTATTTAAAAAAAAAAACTGGCTTCAAAATTTTGAGTACATGAGAGACAATCACGGTGTCACCATATAGCGGCCATTCGCCTCTAGTAGCACCACACTTTACTTTAAGCAGATTACAGTGTCGTCACGTACTACGGCTTATACACCGATCTCCTGGCAAAGTCTCTATTGTGTCGGAGTAAAGCGCTTGTTGACATGTCTACTTGCAGAATTGTAGCGTGGAGGAAACAGCATTTTTGCGGCGCATTTTTCCCTTTTGAGTCCGTACTCTTGTTAAGTCAGCCGCTCTACGCTCGGTTCTTGAGGACCTTCGGTCTCCAAGGAGACGGATTACTTTAAATTCTTGTGCAGTGGCTATGCAGGGAGGAGTGCTGGTCCTTGTAGATCGAGTCAGGGACAAGAGAAGCTCTCTGCAGTACACCGGTACGCAGCAAGGTGGCGTTTCATTTCAAAAGTACCCCCGAATGTTAGCAACGAGCTCCTTGATGTGAGAAACAATTCACCAACGCTAACATTTTGTGTCATACGTCATTTTGGTGGTACGAAGATAGGGAATTTCCTCAAATCCTTTGTTGGATCCCTTATTTCTTCCTCCCTTCCCTCCTTTCTTTGCTGTTCTCACTGAAGAGTTGGTTCAAATTGTTCTCAGTTCAGTAGAACGCCCCTAGCAGTTGATACCATTGCAGTATTTCGTGTAGCAACAAAGTCGCCTAAAGTCGTTAAGGAAATCTTAAGTTCAATCGGTTGCAATTTCTCCAGGTTTCCCGAATAAAAATGCTTCTGATCTCCTAAACCAGACCACCAGCTGCAGATTGATCTGACTCGCCCAGGAAATATTAAAGTTCTTCAAATGCTTCTTTTAAGAAAGTAGCCTCTACCAGGCTTCGTGAGACGGTTGGAAAGAGTAGAAATCGCTCAAATAGAGAGATAACATACCGAGGGAGTTGGTCCGCGAGAGAGTACAGTTTGCCGCACCCGAGTACTCTCTAGCGGAACAACTCCCTCAGCATGTTATCTCTCTGTTTTACCGATTTCTACTCTTTCCAGCCGCCTCCCGAAGCCTGGTAGAGGCTATTAAGAAAGGGGCCTTTTTTTAGTATAGTTGTTCGATTCAAAATGACCATCTGGCGGAATATAGGCCGCAAATTACACATTTCTGTGTGTGGAGACAATTCTCTGAGTTGAATCCTAACGGCATGATTATGGCTTTACTACGATGAAAAATTACGCATGAAATGTCCTCTCCATACACGCCCCCCTCCCCACGTGCACCAACCACATGTAATGTGCACATAATGCTCTTTTACGTGTCAAAAAATAACTGATAGGCGGTACTCCGCGAGTCAAAAAGGCTTAATAATCCGCTTGAATGATTTACTTTCCATGAAATCCCCATCACACGCCTACATGAGTATTTGGAAGTCCTGCAGGTGCAGTAGAAAAAGTGTTCCCGCCTTGTGGAAAATCGCAAATTGTAGAGTTCCATGTGGACATTGTTTAGCGAGGTCGTGTAAGGGGGCCCTAAGAACTCTTGAACATATGTTGTTTAGGGGATTTGTCGCTACCGGATTCAAAGGTCGAGGCAGCTAGCACAAAAATGTCACAAAAATATTGAAAAAATATTGAAGCAGTTGCAATTTTTATGGCAGTTTTTCTGTTTTTTACGTTCAAAAAAAGTCAAGGTTCATATTGTGTGTGCATATGTCACAGCAGCAGAATTTGAACTACTCAACCGTTGAGTTCGTTAAGTTTCAAACGCATGGCTAGGATACGAAGTGAGTGTGTACTAGGCAACTAAATAGACATAGCTACAATTTGAGTCATAGCAGCAGAATTTGAACTACTCAACCGTTGGGTTCGTTAAGTTTCAAACGCATGATACGAAGTGAGTGTGTACTAGGCAATTAAATAGACACGGGTACAATTTGAGCCATAGCAGCAGAATTTGAACTACTCTACCACTGGGTCCTATGTTTCTAACACATCGCACGATACTGAGTGAGTGTGTACTAGGCAACTATAGACATAGGCACAATAAGTGGCTTTCAACAAGGTACAGATATCACCGTACCTTGTGAATATCAACACCTGCCGCCTTATGATAAAGTGAACTTTGATTTCCACTGAGTAGGCGGACATGTTGACATCCACGTAGAATATTCGGTAGTGTGCCACACTACAAAAATGTACGCTGTACTATGAGATGCTATATTCGCTATCAACCGATATCACAACGCACGAACCATAAAAGAAATCTTATAACAGTCGGAAGTTTGACGTATCACAGCGACAGCTAGGCTTCATTGATTTAAGCTGCCTTATGAATTTTTCATCGCCTGGGCTGATACAATGAGAGGCGGCAAACAGCGAGAGAGAACAGATTTACAACCAGTACTTTAGTAGTACAGCGGGAGAAAAAGCTAGTGGCATGGTGTTCCAGGGTATGGAAGGGATGTCGTGGATTAAGTACGCCGTTTCGGACGATTCTTCCTCGAGTGACAACAAGATGAGACCTACTGGCGATGTGGAAACGTTATCAGGATGTGTTACTGCTAGTCATGTTTCTCCCGCTCTCCGCAGTGCTGCTGTAAAAGGCCTTACCGGCGGGAACAAAGCAGTTAATCGCGCGGAAGGTAAGGTATTAACTGGGTCAGGGAAACACCAAAGCTGGCTGCTAAAAACGTTGCATGTTTTTCATTCTATATGTCTCACTCGTTGATGTATTTGCGATTGTGGTATATAAAGAGCTACGTACGTACTTGGACAGTTTACGACCAAACGACCTGGCGTGTGAATATAGTTTTCTATATGCATAATGTAGGAGGAAATTACAAGGTCTAAGAAATGACCAACGGTTATGAAAGCTACTCTCCAAACAGAGGTTCAGGCTTCGGCTTATTTTTGCGTGTTTTCAAGCGTTTTTATCGGGCTCTATTTTTTTGTACTGGTATATTTTTGGCGCCGGCCTAACTCGGGTGGAAAATGGTAACAGTCTGGCAAATGGATACTGCCTGGCCAATTTGACACTGTCTTTGCAGCCACCGAAAGATCTGCTTGGAGATAATACTAAAGAGACGCTCGTTTGGTGCTCAAGTCTGGACACGTATTGTGTCCTTTTATTTCTAGGTCTGATGTAGTAGTTATGGCGTATTGATGCATTTTATTTCTCTGCTGCGAGCTTTTCCTAGTGGAGACGCCAACGTTTAGTTCCAGTAGGGTAAACGTGAACATTCTTCCTGTGTCGGCAGACATTTTCTGTCACGTGTACAGCTAGCGCAGTGTAGTAAGAAAATAAAGTCATAAAAAAAGTAGTTATCAAAATATTCCCAACTTAAAAGATAAGTTGAACAAACACTAAACCTTAGCCCTGGACCTTAGACCTCATATAATACGAACGATAAACGTAGAATGCAACCATTCATGCTGTATAATCGGACACATGTGTCATCTTGTGTCTACAGTTTCTTGCAGGCTAGACTAATTGGTAAATAGGGTGAACAATGTCGTATTGGCCGGCCGGTCAGAGTAAGAAGTAATGTAAATTTGGCAAAGCTAGTCTCAAATATCCTTATCCTATGGGTTAATTTGCTAACTGAGACTATTAGTGTGCACGTTTTGTAATTACTCGTACATGTATTTGTATTTTCCTTCCATAGGTCCAGGGAAGACTTCAAGTGTTACGTTACTTTCCAGAAAGAGGGCGGCCCTAGGCTAGCTTCCTATATGATGTTTTGTATGCGTACAGCAATACTTAATAGTGTTTCCTTCTTGTTCACCGTAACTCAGGTACATGTGAGAGCGGTACTCAGGATTCGCTGACTCCGGGTTTTGCAGACGATCCGGAAGGTTTCTCCAGGTTTGAGAACAAGTCTGGTCTGGCCGAGGACATGAAGCTGCTGGCCACGATGCCGGAGCTGTATGACGTCACGTTCCTGGCGGGAGAAGAGAGGGAACCCGTGTACGGCATCAGGGCGATCCTGGCGGCTAGGAGCAGGTGCGACTGCAGTTCTAAATCATTTCGCTAGAGATCGCTAGAGTCCCTCGCCTGCAGTTCAGTCGCCCTAGTGTGCGAGTTCCCACATAACACTGTAAAATATCTCACCATACAACTCTGTTTGCGGAATTCTTTTTAGCAAAAACGTACATTTTTACTAATCATCTACTTGGGTAGAATTTAAAATTCAATTTACTTTAGATAAGTTAAAGATGTAGTTATTTCGGTCTTTTTGAGTGGTTCAAAGAGGTATTGCACTCTCAAATACAGTGTACTAGTATGTCATCATGAATGTGCAACGATAATGCCAGATAAAAGTAAAAACTTTAACGTTGCCGGCAGGATTCGAACCTGCGCGGGCAGAACCCAATGGATTTCAAGTCCATCGCCTTAACCACTCGGCCACGACAACCTGTTGGGATCTTAATGCTCATCTGTACAATCGTCGATATCATTTCAACTACAAAGAAATTGATCGCATCTGATCGTTTTTTCAAACTATTGACAATTAACCTCAAGATTCCATATGATTCAAATGCTTTCATGTGCTTTTATATATGTTCAACTGGCAAGTGTTTGAAACCTTGCAAATTTATCAAACCAAAGTTGTTGTTACGTCGGTGAAGGTTAGACATCCAGGTAATAAGATACGTAAAAATTGACTCATTTGCGTCAACCTTCTCTTGATTTTCTCTAACATTTGTTTCCTACTGGACAATAAAAAATTGTATTCATTTCGTTTGTATCAATCAATAGTTCATGTTTATAAACCTGCTGAGTTTGAGAGCTCTCCAATGTCACTGGCGAAAGGTAGAGGATACTACGTACACCTGAAACGTCTAACCAATTCCAAAATCATATCCAGTTGCTTGAGTTTTTGGTGGTGTTGTTTTGCCAATAGTAAAAATTGTTCCTTTTTTCCTTTGCAGGGTGTTCCACAAGTTGCTCTTCTTAACATCTCCAAAGATCCGCAACAAGAAGACGTCCAGACACTCGGGTTCCTTCGCCAGAATATTTTCCAAGCTCGGCAGCAACGACAACTTGAACATGAACTCGCCTGACGTCATCGAGGTGCCTGACTTTGACCCGGATGTGTTCCGTGACCTGATGGAGTACATCCACACCGGATGTGTCAAGCTGCAGCCGAGGACGCTCATTGGTGAGAAACTGACCAATAAACAAGCGCGTAGATCATATGCATTGCAATCTTGACCAATCAACGAGCTTAAAAATGTTAATGAGATTAACAACGGAGCAGACCGTGTCAAAGTAGTGACGACCACTATCGACAAGCACGTAAACCAATTCAAGGGAAAAGCCTAGAATAAATAAAAAATCATCACCCAAACAACATTTTCGATAACTTTAAGTAAATATTTAAGTAAAACCTAAATATACATGAGATTATGAATATTATCCATCATCAAGTGCCACCATTATCAAAGAACATCATTGGACAATTTTTGCCCGGTATGAAAATCAAAACTTTTGAAAAAAACTTTTGGCTGGCGTTTTGCTTGTACTCACATCAACCTTGTTGAGATCATGTATTTAAAAGTCAATGTGTACAAGCCGCAGTATCATTGCAATAGCATTGCTTGTATTTTCACCTAGGCTTGATGAACGCGGCTGAGTTTTACGGTCTGGAGGAACTGAGGCGAGCCTGTATCGGGTTTCTACACTGCTGTATCAGTCTGGATACCGTCTGTCCGCTACTGAGCTCGATGGAGAAATATGTCCACTTCAAGTCAACGAGATCACTCATGCAAAAGGTGGGTCGAAAACTGTGTAAACCTTTGTGAAACTGTGAAGAGTCACTCGAAACACCTTGTAGTCTTCCAATTTTCACACTCAAAAGGTTATCAATGTGGAAGTATTTTACAGCCAAATCTGCTTAGATTCTGGGCGTAAAAACAACGATTTTGTTGTTCATGCATTTTTTAAATGCGCTCATGGCTTATTTTTTTTATTCAACAGGTGCTGGAGTTTGTAGACGACCACGCCACAGACGTGTTGACGCAAGCGCCTTTCGCCATTCTCCCTGATCACGTGGTCAGACTCATCCTCTCGCGAGATGTTCTGCAGGCAGACGAGGTCACAAAAGTAAGCAACTGAGTTGACGTCGTGTGATATCTACTGTAGGCATTCTGCGGCAAAAAAAAAAAAAACTACATAAGTCCGTTTCTACAAAAACTTGTGGCGGCCAATGTTGCGTGCTATTAACGTTATATGTTAAGCATCAAATATTTGAGTGGCCTTCTTTATTGAAATCGCTTATTTTGTTTTTCTTTCCTGCAGTTCCACGCAGCTCTTCGCTGGGCACGTCGCTACAGCGACAAGCACCCAGACATATCCGTGAAGGCCGCCATTTCTCCACTCTTGGACTACATAGACTTCAACTCCATGTCCGCCATGACACTAATGAAGGACATCCGGGCCACGGGAACAGTCCCGGATGAAAAACTCGTGACTGCGCTTGCGTACCAGGCGGACCCGGCCAGCGTGGAGTCCATGCGCATGCGCAACGCCACGAGATCGCCACGGCGCAAGCGCAATAACGTGACGTCACAGATGGCGGCGCTAAGCATGTCGGACAGGTTAGATGATGACGTCAATAGTGACGTCGGTGAATCGGACAGTGGAAACAGCAGCAATGACCATGATGATGGGAGCTTGCACTACTTCTAGGACGTATGATGGAGACACCTGTGGTAGAATCAGTTGGAAAAAGAAGGGAATGATTTTACCATGACATGGGAATGAAGAATGACCCAGGACGAATGGGAGACTTTAAAAAAAATGTGGAAACCAGAAATGAATACAGCTTCAAAAGGACCAGTCATCAACAGTGTGCAAGTTCAGCTTGCCCCCTACCGCTGTTGTCATGAACTGCAGCACAGGAATGGAAAGTGTTTCTTTTATAATGGGTACTTTCCATGTAAGCCTATGTGTGGACCTAGGCCCATCCTCATTCTAAAATCGATTAAGAAACATCTGATTGTTATTGACTCAAATATACCTTCATCAATGTTTAATGGTTTGTCAGCACTTTAGAAGTGTTAACGTTATGTATGCTGAGACTTGACCGATATTTTCTGTAAACAAGTTTGTTTCACAGTGTATCCTATTCTAGGAGCAGACAAGCTTCTTTCATGTCAATTGTACATAGTGTACATTGCTTCGTACTAACAGTATTGTAATATTGAATTAATCACAGAAGCCTCCTTCAAACTTGTTGATGCACTGAGTGTCAGTGTGATGTCATATTTAACCATTTTGTCAATATAATATTGGAATCCGTCCTATCATGGGCAACATGTTGTGAACTTTGTCAAACATGATGTACATTTTGTAGATTTGTGTGTGGCCTGGCTCATTTGTGTATTTCTTTTTTCCATCATAGTATAGTAGAGGAATCTTCTAGGTGAAGATGGATTCCATTAAAGATAGAATCAAGATATAAGGCTCCACCCCTGAGGCATTGCCAAAAACAGAACATATACAATGACAATTACCTTAATTTATGTAATTCATGAAAAGGTATCAGCAGCCCTGTGCAACCCAAAAAACAAGTGTCACCTTAACCTATTATACAGCAATATATGTACCATCAACCTTCCTTCCATCAAAATTCAAGTGGCATAAATCAACTAAATGTTAACTGTTCAACAGAACAACAAACATGTTCCAAAGCATTTAGGGGCTTAAAATATAGATTTTAAGCTCCATGCCAAAATTAAGTCAATAATGTAAACATTACTGAAGATTTTTTACAGATATAATTCCCTACAGATTTTCTGTACACATTCACACACAATGGCTGTATATAAATTATAATGACAATTTTTGACAATACACAAATTCTTAGATTATTAGAAGTCCCCAAAAATGCAGCATATGGATTCTAACATTTATCACACCACTCAGATAAATAGACATATGATATCATATTGGAGAAAATCTGACCTGTAGTAACACACTTTGTCTCATGTTTGAAACTGAAGATCAGAAACCTACAATGTTATTCGTGTCTAGTCCTCTACAGCACAAGTGTCTATCTTACACATGGCTGCATTAGCAATGGGGAATGCCTTAGTGTTGTAGTGGAAGAGCCAACGGTCCTCAGCGGGGATGTACTCAAACACATTGCTGAGCCTTCCCATGTCCCTGTACCCCCCTACCACCCAAATGGAATCACCCAAGGCTGCGGCGTGGACGGTACGCAGCTTCCACGGCATGGGGGCACACTTGCTCCAGGTGTTGTACGCAGCTGAGAACACTTCGCAGGTGTCCAGGACAGCATCTGCAATCAAACACAAAGGTAAGGTGCTCAGGGGAAAAGACTACAGCTGGATTTGTGTACATGTGTAAAAGGGTACAAATAAAGGAGGTATATGGACCCATCCCAGAATCCCTTGCAATACACATTCTGCAATATACATTCCACAATATACATCACACAATACACATCCACAATACACACTCCACAATATGCATTCCACAATATACATTCCACAATATACACTTCACAATTGAATATACATATGTCTCCACAATACTTATTAAACAATGTACACACCACAATACACATTTCAGATGGCTGACTGGAAGCGACAAGAAATTAAACTTCTCATGTGTTGCATTTGACAGTGCAGCAACTGATATAATTTGATCAGTAAATTTTCTTTTCCAAAATCACCCATGGGAAAGAGAAGAAATCGTAGTATGGTAGGTACTTTCATAATCATAATGAAGATAAATATGAATTCTTACTGTCAGTTGACAGCCCTCCTATGGCATATATGCTGTCTTTGAACACAACAACTGCATGCCCCTTCCTCGCTTGATGCATCGAAGGAACCTCTACCCATCTTGAAACAAAAATGTGAACAAAGTTAATACATCACACAGAAATTCAACTGCGTTTGTTGACTCTCAGTTTGTTTATTTGTTTTATTATCAGCATTATGTAATCAAATCATAGAAATACACAATCATGAATAATAATAAATTTAACAACTTTACATGTAGACTTTTCATACCTCTTGGTCCACTTTGGGTTGCACTTTTCACAGCTTTTCAGGATCTGTGGGTTGTGGGAATTGCCAGCTGCGCCCCCTATCACCCAGAGGTGGCCCCGCAGGGAGACCATGCCGTGTTCGTAGCGGCCGGTGGTCAGTGTCTCAATCTGCTTTATCCTCTCTGTCACTGGGTCCAACTCCTCTACTAGATCCATGGCTGACATCCCTGCAACAGAATATTCAATGACTTACTGCAATACACTGTTGTAATGCAGAGAGATACAGATATATCACTACACTACATGGTCAGACTCACTCACTCACTTACTTCTCACTATCCAGGCAATGTCCGAGGGCTAATTGCATACTGACAAGGACAATGAGTAAGGAATGTACTGAATAATGGTAGAAAACCACGTGATGACATTAAGTTTTACTTCTAGTTTTACTCTAAGTTTCTATCTCTACTTAAAATTAATAACATTATGTACGATGTAGATGTGACAGAGAGAATATGTAATACATAAACAGGTAAGAGAGACATGGCAACTACCATTTTATTTCTAGTTGAGCAATTTGGGGGGGACTTCTTCTCTGGAGGCAGTGGCAGATGAATTGTCTGACTTTTTGAAAAAAATTGATGGATCAGAAGACTTTTAATAGCAGTACTAGTAATATATTCTTTTGTAACAGTTGTTTGTTGAGGTGTGAAAAACTTGGACTTGGACAGTGGCACTGACAGGTAAAATGCATTTCATCTTCCACTGCTCCCTCTGTACATCGTTGAAGAGGTTCATCAGTCACGTAGAACACAAGTCTCGACCTAGTCTCGTGTTCTCGCGAGACTAGGTCACTCCTTGAGAAAGGTGTACAGTCGACACCGAAAATTTGGAGGTACGTGCTTTTACCTTTAAATACAGTCACTGATTGAAGAATTTCTACTAACTCCCTCTGTACAGTATTCAATGTACAGTAACCTTAAGAAAAGGCCCCACCGTGATTTGCTGTCCCTCCACTGATGTATATCTTCCCGTTGAGCGAACACACAGCAGGACAGTCTCGCGCTAGCTCCAGCATAGCCCGCAGCTTGAACCACTTTCCCGTAGCCACGTTGTAACCGTCTATTCTCTTGACCGGCAACAGGTAGGACCCTCCAATGACATACACCTTCTTCCCGACCAGGACGGCGCGACTGTCTCGACGTTTCTCCGGGATCGGGGGTAAGTCTGTCCACTGGTGGGTCTTATGGTCAAAGGTCTGGAATCAAAGAACAAGAAAAGGTGTATTCATCCGTTACCATTACATCCTCTTAGTCACTTTCATCCAGTGCCCAATACTCCCAATTTATGCAAAATAAACATTCTACAGTACTGTCTTCTTTATCCACATCAGCTTTTATCAGGGCTAGAGGTTCATTTTTGGGAATAGGTGCGCTGGTGCACCCAACCTATAAAATTGGGTGCACAAAATAATTTTGGGTGCACCATATGAAATAAAGTAGAATGTCAGCAAAACCTAATACAAAAATTCTGATTAACCCAAATTCTAACTTTAAAATGGTAATCGTTTAAATACTACAACAAAGATTTCATTTGAAAGTTTTCTGAGACTTAGATGTCAAGAATATGCTGCATACTTGAATACATTCAATATCTTTACATATGTATACCTACGAAAGTATTTGGTTGCACAGGTGTACCCACAGAAAAAAATTGGGTGCACAGCTCCAATTTTGGGTGCACCCAGTATTTTGAGCCCTCAGTAACATGATATGCTGGATGCAAATGAACCAACTGTTCCTCTCTGCCCCTCATGAAAAATGTACCTGGCAACATGACTGTTCTGATCCACCAAACATGGCGATCTGGAAGTCGTGTTTCTTCTTACGCAGGGCTGTCTGTTCCTTTATCTCCGTACGTTCTGCCTCTTCTAACAGGTGGTACTTCATTCCAGCTGTACACAGAAACAGAAAATGTGTTTAAAAATTGTGATGCTGTAGACTTGACTAAACACAGGACATGAACAAATGTTTTATTACTTCCCTACGAAGCAGAACAGAAATATGCACACTTAACCAAAGGCAAATTTTTCAAGCATATTGACTGAAGTCAACTTTTAAAGTTGTTATGGTGGGCAAGGAATGTAATGAAACATGCAATTCAGCCTCCAGGCTGCAAAAATGTTTTTAATCAATAAACCAGTCACCAAAAATGCACACTGTTATGTTTCTTATATTATCATCTTGGAGCTTCTGAGAGATGTGTGACCTACTCATGATCATCTTGAGACATTCTGGCTTGTCTTGGAGGAGGGGTTCGGACTCGACCGTGGTGCTGAGGTACGAGCGCGTGATGAGGGGGTAGCGGATAAGGGACATGACCTCCACAGTGTGCTCCTCACGAGACTTACTCTTCAGCCAGGTGATGGCAGCATCATACACCTTTGAAAAATGCACAGAAATGTTAAAGAGTTAGAACCAGATCTAGAGTTCAGCTAGCCTGAAATTTTTATCCAATATCTCAGTTTGTTTGACATAACGTCAGGTCACATGCCCGTAGCCAGGGGGGGTTCGGGGGGTTCGGAAGAACCCCCCCACAAGGCTCAAAGGTCCACTTTTTGGTCCACTTTTTATGTAAAGGTCCACTTTTTGGTCCACATTTTATGTAAAGGTCCACTTTTTGGTCCACATTTTATGTAGAAAAACTGCTCCCTTTGTCATTGAATAAAAATTTATCTCTGATTTTTTCTTGGAAATCCTCTCAAAAATGCACGAAATGCCATTTTAGAAGGTTCATTTTTCAAAATTTTCCGGGGGAGCATGCCCCCGGACCCCCTAAGAACCTCGCGCCTTCGGCGCTCGAGGTCCCCTCAAGCAGTGGGAAGAACCCCCCCATTCAAAATCCTGGCTACGGGCATGGGTCAAATGCCAGGGGCGCAAGATGTTGCAAACTCAGACTGAAATGCTATTTCCTGCATTTTGAGGGGCAAATTTTGCCAGACTTAGCTTAGTTTAATGACATCTCTTTCCATATCTTTACACAGCAACTTTTGTCTGTCAAAGATGATCGATTAGGAAAGATTTCTGTCCATAATTAGAGGCAAATTTCTGAGAAATGATGGAAAAATAGCTGCTGGCTAGAACACTGGTTAGAACCATCATCAGCTGTTACAAATACTAGACAAGTGCAACTGCTATAAACACAAAAGGAGTATTGTGCCTTTGTCAATACTATGTACAACGAAAGACAATTCAATTACATCCCTATTCTTGCCAGGTTTATACATAGTAGTACACACTGCAACCATTGCCAAGTATGAACTATGATAACACATTACAATATTCGTGGTATTTATGTACATCATATATTTATACTAAGTCTACTTACAACATTCTCACTCTTGACTGTCAGCTGATCACTGGCCAAAATTTCCTTCAACTTCGGCAGCTCTAACTGTGAGAACTCCTCCTCCTGACACACTTCCGTAAAGTTCTCGTGAGAGTACTGTCTTGCCTCCTCACTCAACTCCTTACAATTAAGATACTCAGCAAACTGTTGAATCCCCAGACAGTTGGAAGGAGTCATGTTTTCCTTCAAGTAGTTGCAGCATAGTTTTTTCACGGTCTCGATTTGGTAGCGGTTAGAAGCCGACAGAAGAGACTGGACGTTTTTGTCGTTAACCTTGATACACGCCGTGTAGGCGAACTCAACTAACGCCTCGATTGTCTCTGCCTCAACTTCCTGCAATGTGACCTTTTTGGATTTTTCCTCAGACATTTTTGAAGTGAACATGGCTTGGAAGAAAGGACTTGACGTCGCGATGACAATGCGATGAGCGTTGATTTCTTTCCCCTCTACTTCGAAGATGACATCGCAGAGGATGCCCTCCTTGCGAAGGTCGTTCATGTGGGTAAGGAAAGATGCTTGCTGAAAGTACTGCTTTTCTAGACGTCTTTGTTTTTCCTCTGCTGTCTCGTGTTCGTCATCTTCCATGTGGTGGCGTTTCGCCACAGGATGACAGGAACACATGTTTGTTTCTTTATTTGTTTGCTGTGCTCTGTAAGAACCAGTCAGAAGTATTATGCTTTACATCAGCCAAATTACATTGTACATCACACAATACAGTCCCCCCCCCCCAAAAAAAAAACCTGTGCTACATGTATAGCTATAGTCCCATCCTTCCATGTAAACAAAAATGTATAATTTTTTGTTCGTATGTTGCACATACTTACAGACTCACAGAGCTATATTTAGCCACAACGGAAAGCCAAGGTTAAATCAGAAACATTAAGCAGTCATCAACAACACCGATGAACAACACCTATTATAAATCTCAGTGCAGACGTCGTTTGACGACGGAGAAATAGAAACGAAGTGTCAAACCTTTCCTGTAACATACCATACCTCGGCAACTAAGTAGGCTCTACCATACGAATATGGGGGTGCTATTTTAAGAACATTTAGTAAAATGCTACCCTTAATCCACAAACTTAAACCCAAAAATTAAAATAAGAGAAATTATTCATAATCTTACACTAGATTATATCGTATTGATACACAATTTATATTAATATATACTAATACCATTTGGAACATCCACATTTTCAAGTATGATAGCCTGTTCACCTTTGAACCTCCTTGGAATTCTAAGGCGACGGTATGTACTCAATATGATAACAAAAGTGAGATAAAATATGTCAACTTGTCATTTTTTCATAACGTTACGATAAATACTTTTGTTTGCTTATTTTTATCTGTAAAATCTGAGGAAAGATTTTCCTGTTTTGGAGCTTTATTATCCGATGTTGGTCTGAAAGCAAACATTCTTGTTCGTTTTCTCGCCCTCTCAGATATTTTCTCAAGCTCCCTGCTTGCGGAAGTCGGAAGTTGACAGACGCTAGACGCCGCGGTTTTGAAGACGAATATTTTGCGATTTCGCCCAAAACAAGCCCAGTTGAGAGATGAGGAGGCGTGGGGTAGGAGCAGGCGCCATTGCCAAGAAGAAATTGGCAGAGGTACACAATTTATAACGCTACATAATGAATTTGGAAAGGACGTATTTTTTGTAGGGGGAGGGGGGCGTGGTGAAACTCGAGCTCATATATATCTCACTAGACACAGACATAGATCGATAATATTCACCACGAATATTATTCACGTCGAAGATTAGCCAGCAGGAACCCATTAATAAGCGAAGCCTGCACAGTAGCGATAGTTGATGCTACACTCCTTGTAGCACATACAGAATTTGCCTTTAGACATGGGCGATAGTGCATATGTGTACGAGCTACACCCAGGTGACTCCAACATGAAATAATATATATTTTATGATAACAGTAATAAGTCGCAAAGTCAGACACTGGAGGGAATAGATATAGGATTTATTATTATTCAACATGCTGTGCTTTAGGTATGATATGAATTGTAACATAGCCTTCAATTTCAACAATAAATTGAATTCATATCGTTGACTACAGGCAAGATACAAGGACAGGGGAACTGAGATTGCAGCTGATCAGTTGGCTCAGGTGATAATTTATAACTCATAATTAAAATCTTACACATATCTTATCTATTGGGAATAATTTATTCAAGCAACTCAATTGATTTTGAATAAAGTAGAGTTGCTCAAGAGTAACTGTTACTTTGGTATCTTATTACCTGGAATCTGGATGTCTAACCTTCATTTTCAAGGATTTTTTTGTGTGTAAATTTTTCCTTTTTTTTTGTATACATCCTGCATTTGCTTATTCTATACCTTAAAAAGTGAGAAGATGTTGAACCTGTAAATAGTAGCTCACACCAGTATGTCTAGTTTTACTTTTTAGTATACAACTGTAATTTTTAACTCTGCTTTATACTTGAACTGTACTAAGCTTTTAAGAGCATACGTACAATAAAGGTCTTTCATCCTGTTAAACCATCTTGAAATTGCCAGAGAATGCTCTATCCTTGTTCACATCCCATTTTGAGGAGTTTGTGTACAATGGTTTATTGTTGCTTTAGCTGTGAATTGATTATGTATGCACCACCCAAATACAGATGTCAAAACAGCTGGAGACATTCCAGAAGCACCTGGAGGAATTTGCCACCAAACACAAGGATGACATCCGCAGGAACGCAGAGTTCCGCCGACAGTTCCAGGAGATGTGTGCAGCTGTGGGGGTGGATCCTCTGGCTTGTATGTGCCGAATATTCATAGCTAATATGTAATTTTTCCCTGCACTAGACAGTGCGATGGGCAACACCCATGTCTGTTTCAATAGCCCTTGGGCCACACAATTCTGTGCAATCACTACAGCAGGTGGATACTAGTACTAGTAGTGCCCAGGAGACTATACTGATAGTTATCTATCAGCTTGTAACAGCTGGGACCAAACTAATTTCATTTTACTTAGCCCTAGTATCAACCATTACTTTTTCCAAGTTATCATATTGAATTCCAGTGTTTCTAACTTTAAGTGAAGTGTCGGTAAAACTAGTATATCAACTTATATAAGTATGTAGCATAAAAGTCATTAAAACAATATTATACCAATGATATTGAATCCCTAGCCTAATTTTTTCAGTCTGAAAAATTGCAGATTGCTGAATTCTTCTTCTATGTGGACTGCAGATGAGTATTTGTAACACTAGTGTTGTCAGCGTTTGGTAAGGTTTTGTACTCCTGTAACTTCATGTGTAATGTTTTCTCAGCTGGGAAAGGTTTCTGGTCAGAAATGCTGGGGATTGGAGACTTCTACTATGAGCTGGGAGTTCAGATTGTGGAGGTGTGTTTAGCAACAAAGCCCAGGAATGGAGGTGAGATCTTTATACATTTTCGGTTGTTTTTCACTTTTTCGCATTTCCTTAATTACCAACATTTCAGAATCAGATGCAACTGTTCATTATGAACTCTTTGTTTTCACCACAAATTTAAAGGTGTGTGTTTTTTTTGTCAGACGTGTATGCAAATTGCAACTTTTCAAGAGTAAAACTATCAACATCTATATCTAGTTATATTGTGCTCGGTTTAATCACAGTGTACGTGTATTGTTAATTACCTGTTTTGCATCTACCTTGCATCCAATTTGCAATTTCAGGTGGCAAAACTGGATTAAAAATCCAAAGTCAATTTTCTGGTCATGTAGTAAGTTGACTCAACCCTATCTTATAGCATACTGATATCTGTGAGGAAAAAAATGCAATGTTACTGACGGAAAACAGTTGCTTGTTTAATATTGTAGGATGTTTCTAGCTGTTTATGTGCGGTACCCAAAAATAAATGACTTCCCATACAGCTTAGTTTTGGGGTATTTTAAAGGCTTCAAGTACCGGTATGAAATGATGATGAAAATGGCAGTAAATATCAATATCAGACAGATTTCCTAATCCAGAATACTTTTTGTTTTACCGTCCTGAAATTGGGTTGGATGCCTTTAAACATTAGACTTTTCCTTTTAACCCTTTCTACTGTACTGAAGTCCCTGACCTGGTTGTTACAGGACTGATTATGTTAGATGAGCTGAGAGAGAGGATAGCAGGGAAGAGCAGGGCCAGGCAGGATGTCAGCAAGTGAGTACTGCAGGCTGGGCTAATCTAGTTCTCTGTTTAATGTGCGTACTGTTGTGAGTTTTTTTTCAGTGACTGAGTTATGGCATGATTCTAATCTTTTTTAAATTATGTGCCAATTTCACTGTTAAGATAAGTGAATGACCATACATGTAATTTTTGTCCGTCATAACAATAATACCAACAAAATTTCTGTATTGAATTTGTTTATTTGGATTTTTCACAAAGTGAAAGGTGGGGGCAAAACAGGTGCATACACACCTTTACAAGTTGCCCTCCCCCATACAAAAACACATGCACAACATCAAAATTTACGTAGTCAAGGACAGCAAATATAAAAATACACAGAATAGGCAAGAAATATAGTAGGTTAAGCATAATTCAAGTACAAGTAGTATAAGTCGTGTTGAAACAAGACTTGGTGAAGTCTTGAGGCAATGCAATGAATGATGAACTTTATAACAAGCCATGTTTGGGACAATTTCTCCCATGGCAAAGCTATATCCCGCGGCAAATAGGTATAATTTGTAAGACATAACGTGATTCGCTGACAGCATCACGGCGGCCTTACGCCTAGCTCGCACAACTGGAAGCAATGTCTCTGATTGGCTGACAGCTCGTCAGAGGCCACGCCTGGAGAAGTGGCCTGGGCTATGTGAAAGGGCAGAGGTGTTTCCGTAAGGCTATTTATGCTGCGGAAGCACCTCTGCCCTGGGAGAATGTGTATAGAAAGGAAAATTAATCTTTTGTTGTTGTCTTGAGTTATGTTAAAATGAATCCATGATGTACCTAAGGCCACACCGACTTAATTTTTTGGATGACATCCGAGCGCGCATTGATTTTCGCCTGTGAAGGAGGAAGCTGCGAAGGAGGAAGCTGTGAAGGAGGAAGCTGTGAAGGAGGAAGCTGTGAAGGAGGAAGCTGTGAAGGAGGAAGCTGTTAAGGAGGAAGCTGTTAAGGAGGAAGCTGTTAAGGAGGAAGCTGTGAAGGAGGATGAGACCAGAATAAGACTATCTACTTCTACCTCCTGGCAAATAAAAACTTGTTTGTTTGATGCAGTCACCGTGTCGTGTGGTTCAATCCGCAAATATCGGGTTTTTTTTTCGCCCTCTCGCATTAGTTTTGTGGTCCCCAGAGGATGTCATCCAAAAAACTAAATCAGTGTGGCCTGATGGAGTGAACAATGTATGTTTTTATAGAATAGCCTATTATTGAATATACACATAACTATATTGATGTATAGAGTACATATCAGGCAGAACTACTTATAAAACGTACACCAGTGGTTTTCATGCTAGACCTCACAGGGATCATAGAAACTACAAACTGCATTAGTCAGGCCATCCCTTAGCAATTATGGCACCCTTAAGTCAGGAAAGAAGTGGCTAAAAGCACCTCAGTGACACCTTATTCCCCAAGTGACTAAAGTAAAAGCCATTTTATTTTCCCAAGGCTGCAGGACCACCAGAAATTATCTGGAAATATGCCACTAGAATAGATAAAAAGGTGTCCCTGTCAGGAATGATACATAAGGGGATAAAGATCTACTTATTTCCATTATCCAAGTGTCATTCAACCAGCCTTGCTCTGCTGGCAACACGAAATTTCATCATAGGAAGTGTCAGCATTACTACAGGGCTCAAAATACGTTTTTTTTTCTGCATATGTGTACCTGCACCAGTACATGTAACATTGAAAATTGCCTGCAACAGACAAATTTCATCCGCACTACTCAGAATTGAGGAAGTACGTATTATACTTAAAACTGTTTAGGAACCATTCCAATTATTTCTTTTATGCATCATAGGTGGTAATGGTCAATGCAGCAAATAAAAATCCACATACACCTACATGTATATAAAAACCTAAGTAAAATGTACAATGTACATTGACCAATGCATTTTAGGTGCAGGTAGACATCACAAATACATGCACAGCCCCAATTTTACCTGTTCAAAGGTGCATATGCACCTAGTATGTCGAGCCCTGGAAATACTAAAACAGGGCTAGGCAGGCAGGATACATGTATACAAATGTAGATGGAGAAATTGTGCAGGAAAAATCAATTTAAAAGGCCAATTTTCCTCTCGACTGAATATTCCAAGTAATCCACGAAGTAAAGTGGAAGACGATTGCTGTGACAGATTTTTGTATTCTTCGTATTCTTTATTTTGCACATAAATAATAAAACCCAATGTACTTTAGTAAAGAAGACTGTGTTTGTGAGAAGGCAGAGTCTATCCGAGGCCTTCCTCACAAATAAACGAAAACAAGGGGGCAAGTAGCTAACAAAAATGATAAATAGAAAGAACAATACATAGCTGATCGTTAAATCAACATTTGAATTAACAAACAAGATACCTGTAATAAGAAATGATAAAATACTACAAAGGTAACATTTTCAAAGCAAATGCATAATGTTTACCTTCACATGGTCTAGCCTTACAAAGTACTGCAGCATTCAAATACAATGAGAAAAATTGAACTTTGTATTCTGAAGTAAACACTGTGTAAATCTTTAATAAAAGCAGGGAAAAATGCAAACAGTATTGGTAACTTGCAATGGACTGTAGGTCCAATACTGTACTAATAATGACCTGCCATTGGACCTTTCCTTGGTGCTGAAATGCCTGTATTTGTTGTCATGGTCAGCTCTGTTTATTCTTACTCAAACACATTCATGTCATGTATATATGGTAAACCATCCCTTGCTACATAACGTAACCCAACACCACAGGGTGTCTGTTACAACACTAGTTACCATGGTGACAGATGTCTGGTCCAGGTCATTGACATTATGTGTTTGGAACAGAAGAAGAAACTGAGCAAAAACAATGTTTTCCTTCTGCAAAGCAAAACCAAGGAGCTTACAGGGCTCCTTTGGTAAACATATAAATGATACAAAATACTAACAATTTTGATGGTATTTTGTTGCAGTGATGATTTGTTGAGAGCCATAAAAAAGCTGAAGGTGCTGGGCAGTGGGTTCACAGCCATACCTGTGGGAGGGGGGCGTTACCTGGTACAGTCAGTCCCGGGGGAGCTCAACATGGACCATACCACTGTACTACAGCTGGCAGAGGTAACACTTTTTACTTTTTTAAGCTGTGATTATACAATTTGTAATTTGTACTTTCTTTGCATTTAAAAATGCAGCATTTTCTGCTGATGGCAACCATTGTGCTGTAGGTACAGTACAAATGAACGACAGTTTGTCCTCTATATATCTTTGAAATGTACAAAGGATTTTAAAGAAACATTCCATATTCCAAAGCCTTCACAACAAATGGAATGAACAATTTCTTAAGAAAGAGTTGATGATTTAAAAATGTGGCATTTCCAGGCGATAATGATGGCATTTTTACACTTTGCAATTTTTATGTAATTTTAATCATTGAGAATTATACTATGAATTATGGTTTACAAATCAATCATGATGTTTCCTTTATATATCCTTGAAATGTACACAAGATTTTGAACATTTCACAACAAAAGGAATGAGCAATTTCAAAAGAAAGAGTTGATTGACTTGAATTTTGTCTGTGCTTTTGAGATTTCTTTTAATTTGTTAATCTATTTGTTATTATGAAACATCTTTTACAGTATCCAGGTCACTGTATATCACTTTGCAAATATCAATGTCTTATGTTTGTATAGGGCAGTGGCTTTGTGTCAGAGTCTTCTATTGTCAGCAAACTCAGATGGGAGAAGGAAAGGGCACAGAGAGTACTGGTAAGGACAATTACTGCAAAGGTCACACTGTCCTCTCATTTAACATATTTATTGCTATGGCCAAAAAAGGAAATCCCCAAGGCTTGCCCTTATACAGCCATCAATCAAAACAGTTCTCTCACCTTTCAGTGTATCAACTATTATGATTTTATCCATGAATAGTTACATCAGGTTGGTAAGTCACTGAATAAAGACTCTTTTTGTACATTCATTCAAGTGCTGGAGATAAAGTTTAGTCTTTATTTCATAGTGACAGACCAACACAGATTAACTTTCATGTAGAATTTTGTACTGATCATGAATCTTTCATATTTCTCCCATGTGTTCTCAGGACCATATGGTGAAGGAAGGTCTGGCCTGGGTAGATGACCAGGCACCAGAAGGGAGACAGTACTGGTTCCCTGCTCTCATCCCTGACCCTGCTGGCTAGGAGAGATGGATGGGGTTTTATATTGAATTTTAGAGTAAAGGGTATAAGATATGTTCGTGAAGGTTAGCTCTTGTAGTCCCATGGAGTTTCTGCATTATATTCACTGTCATTCTTATACTGAAGCCAATTTCATGAGTCCAACTGCAAATTGTTGTAATCTATCATGAAGGCAAGTGTGACATACTCTCACAGCAGAAATTTGGGTTTAGCTTATTTTTGATGTGTTTTTAGGCCTTTTTATCAGGCTTTATTTTTTGCACTGGTATCTCTTTTACACCAACCCAACGAAAAAAAAGGCACCAGTGAAAAAAGGAGAGCCCAATAAAAAAGCCTGAAAACATGTCAAAAATAAGCCAAAACCAAAACCTCTGCTTGGAGAGTAGGCATGACATACAATACAGATTTCTGTGGAATTATTATGTCACTAGAAAGGTAACATTTGCAAAGCAATTGCATAATGTTTACCATCACATGGTCTAGCCTAATAAACTGCTGCTTCGTTTATTCTGACTTGTATTCAATATGGAGACCAGCCTCTCCAAATCTGTCCTTCTACAAAACACCACAGGGTGTCTGCTACATCATCAGTTACCATGGTGACAGATGTCTGGTCCAGGTCATTGACCTTATCTGTTTGGAGAAGAAGAAGAAACAGAGCATAAACAATATGTTTTCCTTCTGCGAAGGTACACATAATCAAGTGGCCAGTCAAGAAAAGTCTGTTTTTTTAAAAGGGCAAACTTTCCTTCAAAGCCTTAATAGATCATTACATTTAGTACTATGACTAGTAGTATTTGAGAATTGAATGAGCCTGAGACATTTTCTATTGACAGCACTGGTCCCAAGAGCTATTACCCTACATGTGGCAGAGGAGTAATTGTGTTATAATATAGGGAAAAAGGTGCAATTACATGTCTGTCTCCACCTGCAGTCAGAGATTATACTTCACTTCATGACCTTCCGCCCAGTTATCTGTTCAATTTCATCATTTAAATGTACACTTAAGAACAAGTTGAATATGAATGAAATGTCAGAATGAATGGATTTAATTTAGTCACTTTTTCCAAGAAGACATTAACTTTAACCTTAAGAATAAGTCAAGATTTAAGAACATGAATGAAACTTTATTAAAGTGTCCTGCACTTTAAGTGTAAAACCCATGGGGGCTTATAAGACACCATTTGGAAATGCAAGTTTTTGAACACCTCATTCCTTGGTTGATAACTCTGGTACTTGAAGGCATGGCTATTTCTCGTTCTTTTGTGAGCTCGTATTAGGTACTTAGTAGTTGTTATTTCCACCAGTTTATTAGTCATTTTGTACATCATGCATAGTCTGGACATCTGTCTTCTAGTGACACCCACTGTAGTTTTTTTTGGTCATTTCCGTGACACTAGCACCCTTTCATAGTTGCTCGTGCAGAATAAGCTTGTTTCTGTACCCTTTCCAGTTCTCCAGTACCGTATGTTTCCCTAACAGGCATGGTTATCTATTCCCCACAGAGCTCATTATAGACTTCAGAGGACGAAATGTTGGGATGAATTTTTGTGAACACAATAGTTCTGTGAAATAGGCAGATATGTCGTTCATTTAACTGTGTAATGAGTGAAATTAATGTTCTCCAATGCACATTTGCTACTGGTGCATGTATTAAGGGCATCCAGCAGTACGATTTCAGGGCGGCGAACCAAAAAAAAAATTCTGGATGAGGAAATCTGTTGGATATTGACATTTGCTGACATTTCTTAGCATATTTTCGTCATCTTTTCATGCTTGAAGCATTTGACATAGCTCAAAAACAAGCTACATGAGGAATCACATAACATGCGAACGTGCCAATAAAAAAAGTTTGGCAAAAAAAGGTGCCTTCATTACAAAATCTATGTGGTCATGAAGGTTGAACAAATGACTGAACACACAAGAGTACGGTATGGCAAATGGTAGACTTTTCATTTTGTCAAATTTTCTCGATTGATTTTGGCATTCTACGACATTAGTACCGTTTTCTAATATTTTTTTTGCAAGTTACGACATATATTGCTCATTTTGCAGCTGCTTTGTACGATTTACAGTATGGTCGAAAACTATTTTTGGAAACGGACGAAAATTCATGCGCACGCGGATGTCATCCATATAAAAAAATCGTCATGGCCTAAGTCGGAATTCTGTAATTATTGCCTTTATATGGCCTTGGACAGAAACATGATGTGATAGAATAGGATTGCTGCGGCAGTAATGTAAAATTGGCCTCACATAGACAGGAAATGGAGTGAACTGCACAACCTCGTCAGTCATTGGCTGAGAGATAATGTGATTATATCAGAGACATGAGATATCAGCTAACTCTAATTACATCATCACAACAGTCGTCACTGGGAATTGGACCTGTTGCGTGCTAGCATATTGCCAGCATCATCATTAACTTTCAGCAGTAGTTCCTATATATATATGGCTAATCTATTAACTTGTCGGTTCACACGTTTTTTGCTGTATGTCAAATATGGTAATATCATCACTTCAACTATTTTGCCGTTTAATTTCTCGCCATGAATATAATACCATGGAAACTGGCTATTTGCTTTTTCATATTTTATATATCTGATACACAGAGGAATATAAACGTGGTTTAAAATTAAGTCATATCTTAGAAACTAAAACACTCAAGGTTGATCCTATAATACACATCGTTAACTTTTGTACGATTTATATGTCTTACTGTCTTTTAAACCGTACGTTTCTATATCGTCCAGAAAATAAACCTAAATCCAATTTTGGCAGCTCAAAGATAGCCCTGTAGGGGAAAAGGGCCCTTAAATACATCATCGATGTACATGGCAATCTCATTTTCTCAGACATTGCCTGTTATACTGCCGACAACCATTCTGGCAGCCTGCCGAATTTCTAGTCGCACCCTATCCATACATATAATGTAGAGATGTTCCACAACTCGTTTTAATAGTGGCTGGATTTTTAGCAAGCCTAGAATTTCATGTAAAATCTTACCAACGTTTGAAATCTCTGTCTAGCAAACATACCAAATTCATCAAACATTTTGCCTACGATTGTGAAGATTTCCCGAACAGATTTCAAAGCCCTTTGAGAGACCAGACCCAAACCGTCGTCTGTTCTGTATGTACCCGGAGAAATTCATCGGTCTGACTATATATATTTCAGTGGAGACCATGAACATTACTGTCATATATCTACCATGTATGTCTGTCACTGGAGGAATGGGGTGATTTAAAGGCATCCAATGCAATATTCGGATGGCAAAGCAAAAATATTCTGGATGAAGAAACCTGTCTGATAGTGACATCTACTGCCAGCACATTTTCGCCATCATTATATACATAAATGATATGAAATAGCCGCAAAACAAGCTACGTGAGGCGTCTCTTTATTTTTGGGTACCACCAATAAATAGCTAGAACCACCCTACGATACAAAACAAAGCAACCGTTTTCCGTCAGCGACATGCATTTTTGCCTCACAGATACCAGTATTGACCAGAAAACGGACTTTGAAAATTCCAGTTTGGCCGCCATAAAATTGCATTGGATGTCTTGAAAAGAAGAGACAAGCGGCCTGTGACATTAGACCAATCAGCTTATAACTCTTGGAAGTTTATTATGTTCCTGAATTTCTTCATGGGACAGAAATTTAAGGTTAGCCGACATTGGTACATTTTTATGGATTTTTTTACGTTTACAGAAGGAAAACAGATTGTTTTTGCTCTGTTTCTTCTTTCCTCTTCTTCTCCAAACCAAAAACGTCAATGACCTGAACCAGACTGTCTGTTACCATGGTAACTGGTGTTGGGTTACATAATGTTGCAATTTTATAGCAGGAGGGATTTTAGACTCCAGCGTCACATATATATGACATATGTTACCTTCTAGTTTTTTTTTGCGTTCGCCATGTAGTTGAGTTGAAAATGCCCACAGTGCTATAATAGACAATCACGGTTGACACTGATGGCTGTTAAGTGCAAAAATTGTACATCGCAGGTACAGTAATTGGAGAGCTCGAGGAGCAAGCTGCATTTTCATCATTCATGTTTACGACGCCCTCGTCTAAAATACTACCTATTTTATACGATTTGCCGATGACACGCGTACGGGAGAAAATACCATATTTCCGAAAAAGCTCTGCTGTACCCCTGTCACATCATTAAAACAGACTAAACATAATCCAATGATTGCGGACGACCCAAGATTTGCAACCTTAGAAAAAAATCCGAGAAGTTCCAAAACGGATATAAAAAAATAACAAGAAAAATGACTTTTTTCTCATGTTCCGAATATATTTATGGAAATTCTGATAATTATTTTCATCATACATAATAAGCTACCGCCCTTGTCGTATACGAGTACGAATTCTCTACGTGTCATCTTGTTTCAGTCAAACGAATGACGCCAACGCACCGCTTCGGGGATGACTTGAAGTACGGATAATATCTCATTGACAGGAAAGCCGCCGGGAGATCTGGAACTGCGGTAAAATACGCTGCCTTGTCGCCACTGTCGGTAATATTTCACCTCCACTTCATAGCTAAATCTCGCCCAATACATGTATTTTTCGGCTAGCCATAGATGCTTTCATTTGCAGCCGCCTAACTCGATCTGAAGGCCGCTGTACCTCAATGGTTGACAGATACGCAAATCTGGTGTGCTCATGGAAAGATCTTGCTTGCTGTCACAGATATGGCATCAACTGGTCGCTGACGCTACAAAGCAAGGGATGGATTTCTATCGTACGTAGTGTACGTGCTTATACCGTGTGTGTGTACTACATACGTGCATGGTAAGCTTAACCCTTTGGTAAATATAGTAGGACGTGTTCTCTGACGCTTGAAGGTAGCCACGCCGCGTGGTGAGGGGGAGGAGTTAATTACCTGCTGATGCCCTCCGTGCGGTTGCCACAACAAATAATACGTGCGATTTGTTAGCTATCAATCACTTACATCAGGCGGCATTCGACAGCATAGAGAGCGTTACGTAGGACCAGGGCGGGAAGCATCATTCACAGGAGCTTTGTGTAGCAACAGAAAGGAAACAACCATCCACTGAAGCTGTTACTAGATCGAAAACGCCGGAAGTGGCCCTCACACAAGGTACCAGCAGGTAAGGGTGTTATCATTGATCACCGGATCTTTTGGGTACGGATATATGTTGCACCTGGTTGACTATGATTGATATCGTGTTTACATGCATTTATTGTCAATACGAATACGCCAGCAGCCTATCTGTATATGTTCTAACATTAGTCATAGTGCAATGTTTTAGACAGGTACATGTATGTGTATAGAGGGCCTCTTATGCAGCACTTACTATATCAAGTAGCATGCTATAAGATTAAAATTTTGGTGCGTCGTTGAGTAGAACGATGGACTTAGATTGGAAAGGATTAAGGGTGATGTATTCACGTCTTCTAGATGATGAAAAATTATCATAATCAAATTTTCCCATAAGATGAACGCTAATCCCTGCTGTCACAACTAATGAAATGTTGGATTAAGTGAGATTGTGATGAAGATTTATGACTTAATACTAGTCATTTTGTGGACGAGAGATTAAAAACCTGATTAAGTACTCTCCAAGCAGAGGTTAGGGTTTTGGTGTATTTTGGGCGTGTTTTTATGCTTTTTTATCCCTTTTTTTTCATCCAATGCAAAAAAGAAACCCCGATAAAAAGTCTAATAACACACCAAAAATTCCCCAAACCCAAACCTCTGCTTGGAGAGTACTGATTAAGTAGGAAATGTGCTAAGTGATGTTCCCGTCTCTGTGTTGATCTAGAGATTTTCTCGGACTGCCGTCTTATCAAAACAAGACACGAACGAGAGAGGAACCCACCTTAACTTCTTCACTCAACTGCAAAATTGGATCCTTGTAGGATTTTCAGTATCGTGACTGCAAAGCTAACGGAAACTCCAAGTTCTGTCCTCAGATGGAATCAATAGGAGGTGCAATTCCGTTCCAAAGTGTGGATTGATTGAAAGTTGATCTAGTCCTGAGTCTCAGCATACGATGCCGGATTCTCTGAGCTTCAACCAGAGCTTTGACAATCTGTTTGTGGAGGAGAACTTGACGTGGATTAACGAGACGGTGGTTGTGTCGGAAGAGGAGGAGAGTACCGTGGACTGGGTGTTCATCCGCACGCTGGTGGTGGTCCTGGCGCTGAGCGTGACTGTCCTGCTCGGTACGGTAACCCTGGTCTACAACTTCGTCTGCTTTGAGAGGGCACCTCAGCAACGCAGGCGGTGAAGAAACAGTTACTACTGCTACTACTACTATTACTGTTACTACTACTACTACTACTACTACATTTGTAGTAATAACGTCGTCTAGACAGTTCGGCAAAGACTGACTGCCGTTCAGTAATTTAAACACGATCTTTCGGAAGTTAGAACTGCCGTTTGCGTTGAGAGAGCACCTCAGCAACGTAGGCGGTGAAACAGCAGATAGTAGTTACTACTACTACTACTACTATTACTAGTCTTGCAAGATATAGCAGATAGTAGTTAGTACAGTATTAGGACTGTCGTCTGCTTTGAGAGGGCACCTCAGCAACGTAGGCGGTGAAGCAGCAGTTACTACTACAGTACTACTGCTAGTAAAAACGTAGTCTAGACAGTTCGGAAAAAAACTGACTGTCGTTCAGTAGTTTTACTACGATCTCACCAAGCTAGGACTGTCTTCTGCTTTGAGAGGGCACCTCAGTAACGTTTTAAACACTAGCTGACCAAGCTTAGTAGGACTGTCGTTTGAAAGAAATCACTGGCGTTGAATATATGTACGTCGGTGGAATACTTGATAAAAAAGGAGAAACTTTTAAATCACAAGTAGACAAATCTACTTACTGACTCTCTTGAGAAGAAACGTTTGTTTGAAACTGAAAAAGATCGCAACCTATATCACGGGAAAGACTTTGACGAAGTACGAAATTACGTGTTCCGCCTTTGTGATAAGGAATTCACTAGACGTGGTCGGGCGCGGCAGAAAAGAGATCTGGAGTTCAAGAAGTCTACCGATAACGTCTAAAAGCAAGATATATCAAAAGGGCATGAAAGCGAATACGCGTTGCACGCTGGAAGAATAAGGTCGGTACACCTACGCAGCGTTGTAACACAACCTTCAAAGTAATAGAATCCAAGGGAATCGCATCGGAGTATCAGAAACGGAAATAGGTCGTACATCTCAGTCGGAAATGGAGATTTTGAGCCATAAAACCTGCTTATAGGCAGCTCAGGGATTTGGAACAGAGGAACCGAGGTGGATCGCAGGATCTGTTGCCTGGGTGAGGTGATCTGTTGATGTGAGCCTCGACAATCCTTGATGAAGGGTTATGAAATGGTGTCGCAGCCGCTCTGGTCATATCAAATACTCGTTTGAAGTGTGCCACGTTTCGGCTTAATTTCTACTGAGGCAAGAATTACAACAGGCAGTTCATTTGCTGTGATAAAAAGAATAGAACAGAGCAGAACAAAAAGATTGAATAGAAAAATGAACTTCGTAAATGCTTCAACTCTATAATAACGATATAACGAGATGATGATATGCTTATAAAAACTGAACCATATCTTGTGCCAAAATCATAAATGTTTTACTAAGTGGCGACTTAATTTGCGCACAAACTATTTGAATTGAATTTAATTTGCGATGGAGGTGTTGTGGTTTTTCGGCACTATGACTGTATTGTGGGGGATTTTTCTCGTTTCCTTGGTGTGCTATACGTGCACGTTACTGACTAAGCGGGAGATGATGGCCGATGGAGTAGAGGCGCCCCCTAGGGCCTCACAAGTGCACCGCAGAGCATCCACTCAAGTATGATCTGATGCAGGTTTTTTCTTAGTCATGATGACTCCACCGCTATCATGCATAGACTGCATACAGTGAATATTGTTTCCGTGTAGCTATACATGTATACGTAATGCGTTTCAAATGTTAATTTGCAAATATTAAAACAGACGAAGTTTTAAATCTATGAATGAAATCAACGTTGTCAAAAAAATTTGAGCTTAGAGCCTGAACGTTTGATTTACAAAGCACAAATGTTCGATATATGCATATGATCCGAAAGATGAAGACTATAATTTCGATGCCATTCTAATGCATGGTTATATTTGTGCCTAGATACTTGTAGCTATTTACTGTTTTAAAAAGTCTCTGACATGTTCAGGGCCCTATATAGCTATTTCACATCATGAATTTGAGACGACATACATATAGGCTTGAATACCTCAGTGTTGTTGCCAATGTGTATCTATTCTTTTGTGGAATATTAATGACAACAGGTCGAATTAGTATAAGTATATTGTATTTGTTTACTTCGTTTTCTCTCTAACTGATTCAGATTTAAATGTTTTTGTTCATTTTAGGCCATGTTGATATGATAATATGGATGACATCTTCTGGGAACGTGCATGGGTGCAGATGAATATTATGAGAAAAAGACAAGGCTCCGATTTAATGTTTTATCTTTCATTATTAATTACTTTTGATGCAGTGATGTATTTCATTCCCTTTATATGTGATGGTGGATGTATATATGTGATGATCTCTGACATTGAATCAAAACCATTTGTACAATGATTGAAAACTTGTATTTCAGTGACAGATGAATGTTGTAATAGTTGGCACTTGGCAGTATACTTGCCCAATGTAGGTATCATTTCTTGTTTAATAAAGTTTATGATATCAAAGTTTGAAAATGTGGGAATCTTTTTTTTGTCCGCCTCGTTTTATTCGCCCTATCGCATTTAATTCGGAGTCTGCGGAGGATGTCATCCATAAAATTTACTTGCTGTGGCCTTACCGGTAACATGTCAGACAGCGCGCACGCCATTGAAAACTCCCGCCATTGACGTCACGACATTCCCGGCGAGCCGCGAACACAACAAACCAAGATGGCGGCGGCTCAGCTGATAAGTCGGGGAAAGCGCCGAACCGCCGCCTATCTCAAGGCTTTCCTCTCCTCAGACTCCGAGACATCGCGTCTTCAGGGACACCAAGACTTGCACAACCTCCTGGAGCACATCTTGAGCCCGGAGAGGGCCATCGATGACCCGGAGAACCTCGAATGGCTGCAATGGTTGGTGGCGGGGGGAGACACACCAGAGGACTTCGCCAAAATTGGTAGGGCACGGATCAGATTTCTTCACTGGTATCTTCCGTTTAGAGCCAGATACTTCAGCAAGAATAACAACAATAACACTCCCAAGGGACTTCCAAGTCTTATAGACGACCTTGAATATTTAAGATATAATAGGATGCATTGAATAAGCAGTTTTTTAAAAGGGTATTTACGTCTGTAGTCAAGGAAGATGCCCACGTTGAAATTTTAGGATGAAATTTACAACCGAAAAATATGCTTTGCACCGACGCTGGCGATCTGTTATTCCGTTGATTTGGAAAATAAATCGAAGGTATTATGTTAATTGACCCTTAATTGGGGTGTCATCATGACATGGACTACATGATGATGTTGTTTTAATGTCATAATGTGGTCATCCAGATGATGCAATATGTCACCAACACAGGACACCTGTGGGTCTTGTCAATATCACAAGCTTCAAAGTGAAGTGTTGTTTTTGGCACGCATGTTTGTGTAAGTCTACATCTACCCGTTTGTCTATGCATTTGTACGTGTTCCATCTAGTATAGGTGAAGTCTGCCATCTCTGAGTCCCTTGTACTGTAGTCATCCACTGTCTTATATTCATGTCATTGTCACAGAAGAAAATACATGTACATGTATAATGAATTTCTATTTTCCACTTGTGTTTTGCTTTGTTTACTTTCATCACGGAGATTACTATACTATAATTATTATGTTTTATCAGTATTGTTTTGTTTTTTTGTTTTGTATTTTATTGTAAGTACTAACATGATTATACCAAACATTTAGTTTGTAGACTTTGACAGGATAGCTTATAATTAGATATTTTATTGAAATGGATTTATGATAGGCAAATGGATGACTATGGTAAAAAAAGGTGACCCCTAGCAGTTGTCTTCCAAACTGCAGCTTCATTTGAGAGTGCTGATTTTAACATGTAGGCCCCAATGAGGAAATTCTGTGCACATTCACTACTACATTGTGAAGGTATTGAAGTGGAAGAATTGTAACCTCCTAACCTGTCATTACCAATCATGGCAGGATAATGTGTTCAGACAGGTTGAAGATTGTGGTGCATGCACTGAATAATTATATGAAGAGACTCTTTTTACACGTCAACTGGTTGTTTTATTCAGCCGACGTTTCCGTCTGTCAACTTCCTCAGGGCAATTCTGACTGGTTCACATTGCACAGCACAAGTGTCGCTGTCAGTGCATGTTTACAAGGAACAATATCCACAATACGGTCCCAAATGTACAACTTAAAGAGTGTGATCATGATATATTTGTAATTGTTGTCAAGTAAAGTAAACAACAGTTACAAGAAACAGTTAATCTATAATGTACACTGCGGTTCCAAAAATACAGGAGCGTAATATGTAGATGATTGTTATTTACCACAATTAACTTCTACTTTTTAAGACTGTGGTTTAGAGTTAGATTTTCAAAGGTTAGGTGTAACAAGTTGTTTGGTGTAATGTAGCCAGCTGCCTCCGCTAGCGTGCCTGCGAAGCTGGTGTGTTATGACGAAGGGCAGTTATAACAGCTATACAGATACAGTCACCGAAACGTTAACTTCAAATAAACCTCTTGGTTGTGCAAAAAGAGAGTATTTATTCAGTGACTTACCAACCTGATAAAATGATAGTCACTGATGTCTGTTTTGCTGTTTCCTTTTCGTAGTGAGAAGACATGACAATGCCACCACCTGTGGGTTGGTATGGACGGCCAACTTTGTCGCGTACAGATGTCGGACATGTGGGATCTCACCGTGCATGTCGCTGTGTGCGGACTGTTTCCAGGCGGGGAATCACGCCGGACACGACTTCAACATGTTCCGTAGTCAGGCCGGAGGCGCGTGCGACTGCGGAGATACCAGCGTTATGAAGACTTCTGGGTAATCCTTTTGTCTCTGTTTCTTATGTTTATGTTTACCTTCAAGGAAGGAAAACATATTGTCTGTGCTCTGTTTCTTCTTCTTCTTCACCAAACACATAAGGTCAATGACCTGGACCAGACGTCTGTCACCATGGTAACTGGTGCTGTAGCAGACACCTTGTGGTGTTGGGTTACATTAGGTAGCATTCGCAGAACAGAGTGACAACGGCCGGGATTCAAACTCTCAACCTCTTAGTCCAGAAGCTAGGTTGCTAACAGCAGGACTACGCACACTACTACTAGGACAATGATTATAATCTAGAGCACAAAAGTCTATTCTGTTATGATAAACGTACAAAACAGATCTTAATGTTCCTGGTCTTGACCCTACGGTTATTTTATCATTGCAAGGTCAACAAGATTGCAATGACCCGTGGATCTGACTCCGTGATATGTCCAGCCCTAACAAGACTGCCGTATTTAGAAAATACCAATGTCAGCTGCTCCTTTACATGACACATTGTTGACCTGAGCCCATGTGTCACAAATACTAATGGGTCTGCTTTTTAATATTTATAGTCCCAGACACAAGAATGTTGTATTGTCTGTGTCTTCAATATCGCTTGTACATGCAATCTTGAACATAAATGTTGTAGTTCACTAACATTATTAATAGCAATCATTTGCTTTTTAAAGCTGACTGTGTTTCTTTGACATTATCCATAATTTGTAGAGATTCTATTCGTATTAGTATACTGTTTTCAAAGGTGTAAAATGCAATGTCAAAATTTGCTGTTTCAAAACATTGTCTGGTTTTCTGTTTTTTGTTGAGCAGCTGTTTCAATGTTTTGTTTTTCTTCCGCAATGTTTTAGAAGGGTATGTTGACATAAGCATGTGTAAGGCACCCAAAACAACATCCCACAGTAGAATACTACCATTCAGTATTTCTGTTCCTGCTTTGTATCTGCTTCTGTTCCTGTATACTATGTAATATTATGTACTTGAAAAACATAAAAAAAGATAGCTTATTGCATTATATCTCATACTATAAGATGTATCATTGGCATTCGTTTTCTGCTGACAGATATGAATGATTTAGAACCTTTACAGTAAAAGGTGCCATCAGTAATGTGATTAACAGTTAAGACTGATAGATTCTCCCAGCAGAGTGATAGAGTGGCATCTCTAGTATCATCCTTGTGTCTGATGACAATCATCATACTCTCCTGTTAAGCACACCTATTAAAGGCATCCAATGCAATGAATTTCAGGGCAGCAAAACTGGAAATATTCTGCTTAAAATCTTTATGTTATTGGTACATACTGTCGCACATATTAGCCTTCAGCATTTCAAACTTCAGGTGTGAATTTTTACTGTTAAAACAGGACAGAAACAAGCCCCAGCAAGATGAGTCCTTAATTTTCTGGGTAGTACCAAAAAAATCAACCCAGGATCCTACCAGTAACCGTTTTCCCTCACAATTTTCGGTATGTTTCCTCCATGCATACCGATATACATTCATTTTTTGGGACAGTGTTATTTCAACTTACATTGTAGTATGTACATGTAGATACATGTACTAAAATATTGACTTTAAAAATCTGTTTTTAAAAGTACTTCCAATTTTTCATGTGCAAATTTTTTACGTGCAAGTTTTCATGGGCTAATTTTTCATGTGCCCATTCCCACCTCAAGATTTTCAGAGAGGGAGAGATTTTATACGTGTATGAACATAAAATACATGCATGATATGCTTCAATTAACCTAAAACAAATGGCGTGTGCAATATTAGTATCCCAAGGTAGCTGCACCATGAGATTTTATTGCCATGAGATTTTATTGCCAATATCTTGGTGGTACTGTTCTAGTATTATAATTAAGGTAATTATCTTGCGATATTACATTTTCACAGTTTGTATTGCCGCGTGAACTACATATGTCGGTGTTAATGTCAGCATGTAGGTAGAATATTAAATATTTAGTGGCCTAGCCTTGACTCCAATAGATACCACATTCATTATCCAGTAAGGCCACACTAATTTAATTTGTTGGTTAACGGATTTGCCCGCTTCATTTTTTTCTGATTTGCAAAAAAAAAAAAAAAATCAGAATCAACTGCAAAATGCTCATATTTTGCCCTGAACAGTTGAGAACAGTCCTTTTCTTCCTAGTTGTTACAGTTATTCCATCTTTCAATGCAATGGTATCATTAAAAGTTCAAAATTCATTGTTTAAATTTTGAATCAGCCTGGTGTGTTGGCTTCATGGCTTCGTACCATTTTGGGCCATAATAGGATGCCTATAGGCTTGTTTTTATTTTTTATTTTTTCCACCCGCCTGCTCCATTATTTTTCTAGAAAAATCTGTTAACCAAGAAATTAAATTGGCATGGCCTAATTTTGAATTATGATGTTTGTCTTCACCATATCTACATGTATATAGGCCACAATGCCCTAGATAGTTAGCCTGGGTACCATCCCCAGTAGTATATTCGCAAACTCTATAACTGGGTCTGGACTTGATCACATATAAAACGATTGGTCATGACGTCACGTAATGAGCTAGCCCGAGCAGCGGGGCTTCATTTGATTGGCTGAGCCTCAGAGGCGACGGCCAATGGCGCGCCTGCATTATTCAAGTGATGTTTGTTGTTTTGTAAACACAGATCTTCGCGCGAGTGTTCCTTTTCTCGGTGCGTTCTTTTTTTACCGGTAGGACGCCCAAAACATCACGAACGAAATTATTCAATGCATCTTTTTGCTCATTTTTGAGCGACGATATTCCGTCTAAATCGTCCAAAACGGACGTGATTGCGAGGTCAACATCAACCTCCGTGAGCTGAGCGGCTTGTGCGTCAGCCATGTTGATGATTTATCGCGGAAAGACTGACTACGGCTATATCATGTGCGCTTTAGCGTTCGGTTCGCCGTCGGACATGTTGATGATAAGGCGTTCGGACGTTCGAACGGACGCTAACGTCGCCGTTCAGACGTCCGAACGGCCCTTACCTAATATGTACATACCCCAAAAAGGGCTTAGACGAGTAGGACCAATCAGCGCGCTCGTTCAAAATCTGAACGAATATTTAGACTCCAGACGCTACATATGTGTGCAAGTCCAGACCCAGTTATAGAGTTTGCGAATATACTACTGGGGATGGCACCCAGGCTACTAGATAGTTAAACCACCATGAACATTTTCCCACTGGGTTACATATGTCTGCCACTTTGAAAAACAGTGTATTTGAAAAATGCAGTGAATTTCCCACCACTTGAATACACATGTACTTCACATGATATTACAGTTGTTACCAGAGGAACTACATAATATAAGTCTTGTTAATATTCATACTATGTTAATGTTTTAAGGGTGTCAGATTTATGCAACCTGGCTGAATTATATTAGTGGACAGGGCTCGAAATTCATTTTTGGGAATAGGTACACTGGTACACCCAACCTAAAAAATTGGGCGCACGAAGATTTTTCTGGATGCACCATATAAGATAAATTAAAGTACAATATTAACTAGACAGGTAGCATTCACAAAGCAAATGCATAATGTTTACCTTCGCATATGGTCTGCTTTATGAATTCTTACTCAAACACATTAACACATTGACAGGAGTCTAAATCCCTCCTGCTATAAAATTGCAACATGATGTAACCCAACACCATGGTGACAGACGTCTGGATCAGGCCATTGACCTTACTTACTGAAGAGGAAGAAACTACACAAAAACAATAAGTTTTCCTTTGGTAAACATAACAATGTATTTAAAAAAATGTTATTAAGAATATGCTGTATACTACTATACAGTTAACATCTTTACATACAAAATGTACGTAAATCTTCGAAAAATTTAGGTGCAATATAAGGTGCACATGCATCCTGGTGTCCCAATATATCCTGGTGGATGTTAGATACTATAAGTCAAGTCAAGTCAATGCTATGCTAAGGTGTTAAGTATTGTTGCCCTTGACCTCCACAGGTTCTGTCACAGACACGGCCCTGGGAGAAACATGAACGTTCCGCCCTGTCCGCACGACGTCCTGGCGGTGGCCGAGGCGATCATCCCGCGGATCCTGCTCCGAGTTGTCCAGCACTTCCGCGACCACTGTAGACCCGGTACAGGCGAGTTCCCCTCTCTGTGCCTGGGGCTTCTCACTAGCATGGCATCTGCTGTAGCATGTTTACCTTGTAAAGTTATTGTCATGTCTTCTATTAAACCAGTGCTTATTGGAGGCTGATATGATCAGGCCATACCAATTTGATTTGTTGGATCATGCGGATGCACACGCTTCATCTTTTTCTGATTTGCAAAAAAAAAAACATTTCTGCCTCTGAATCAACTTCAAAATGCTCATATTTTGGCCACAACAGTTGAAGGAAGTCCCTTCTCTTTAGAGTTGTTACAGTTTTCCATCCATCTAAATGCAGTGGTTAGATTAAAACTTTGAAATTCATTACTTGAATTACAGAACTTAATCTTATTGGTACAAGCAGATGGGGAGGGGGAAGAAAGACAACTGATTTGATAACGGTTACGTAATAATAAGTTCATGGTACAAAAGGGACTATGAAAATTGTAAACATAAATTTAAAGTACCATGAAAAAATAAAAGAGTTACAGTATTGAAAAATCATAACCTTTGGCATTAACTTCTATTCAGATTTTTGGATGTCCTTCCATGTCCAGGTCTCCTATGTACTAATACTAGTATGTCCACCCTGTATTTTGCAGGACTCTGTGTAAAGCATCATAAAAGCTATGAGTGATTGTGTAAATGAGATTTTTTTGTGTGATGCTGTGATTGTAGATGGGTATGAAGCAGACATGGATGCGGTACATGATGCAGACAGTGTCCTGAGTTACCTGCATGACTTAACCAGGATGGGAGCTGCCATGAGGAAGGTCCTGACACACTTCCTAACCAACCCACAAACTTACAAGAACTTCACTTACGGTAAGGCCGTCTACGTCTTTTTAAGAGTAACAAGAGAAGTAATGACTGAATCGTAGGGTGGAAATATTCTTGAAATATTTTGGGTTTAGATGTTAAACATTTTTAACAATTTTAAACAAGAGGGTTCTTGTTGCAGTAGAGCACCCTAGCCGCATTTTTCCAAACTGCATGTTTGCTTGCATATAGTTTGTGCTTTCTTTCATACATGTATCAAAAATCATGATTGTGTTTGATTTCTACAATATTTCAGTGTTCTTGTTGCAATAGAGTAAACCCTAGCAGCCTTCATCCAAACTACAATGTACAGAGTCATATATCTTTACAACATAGTTTGTGCTTTATTCCATATAAAGAATCATGTGTTTGTTATTGTTGTTGATGTTGTTGTCATAGGGTCCACTCCCTCTGACCACAAAAGACAACAGTACCAGCAGAAGAGCCAAGAGAACTACCAGGGTGCCCTGGCCACCATCCCCGCCCCTCCACCACCTTTCTCCATGGAAGGTACTTAGTTTCCTATATCCCTGCCTTAGTAGACATCTTTCTGTGCATTATCAACCTAATGGCAAAACAACAATGTACAAAAACATGCATGTACATCATGTGAACCTTTGGCAAAACAACAAGACCTATAGTGGATATCAATGTTTCCTTTAGAGACCCACATGGTCTAAGTGGCTCTGACAGGGTTGGCAAATGTCCTGGAAATGCCGCTAAGGCCAGAAATTCTGCAGCTGGCGCAAACAGTCTAGGGAAATAATGTCAGAACAGTTACGAGGAATTTGAGTTTGTGGAATTTCTGTTTTTTGCCAATTATGAAAGACACTAATTGATTACTGGAACAAAACTGTATATATTGGCCATAGGCCATTGCATCATCCAAGAACAAGATAAACGAATCATTCAGACTCAGAGTCAGAGACCCAGTGTTGACGTCACACTTCAGAGAAGCCACATGACAAGTCTCACTGGGTCAGTCTATTAAAGAAGACCAGAGTGACTGGTCAACAGCTCTAGATGAGAATGATTTCTCTTGCGTTGGAACAAAACTTTTGTCTCTAAATTCTAAACTCTACGCACGATTTTTAACTGTGTTAATCCCAGGGATAGCAGCGCTGAAGGGAGAACTGGTGCATCAGACGTTTCTAGAAGAGTTGATGTTCTGGACTCTGAAGTATGAGTTCCCACAGAAGATGGTCACCCTACTACTCCAGATGCTGCCAGATAATGACTATAAGGTGACATACAACACATCACTTATCTATCTGTCTAATTAATGATGTGTTTTGAATTAGAGCTGTTACAATTATATTAAACCTAAAGGGAAGGAAATTTCAAACCCTTTATGGAACACATTTGTTTTATTGGGAAAGATATTTAGTCATTTTTTTGCTGCTTCATATATTTCTTAATCAGTTCCTTCCTTCCTTCCTTCCTTCCTTCCTTCCTTCCTTCCTTCCTTCATCCATCCTTCCTTCCTTCCTTTATTCCTTCCTTCCTTCCTTCCTTAAGCTTCCTTCCTTACTTCATTCATTCTTACTTAGGCAAATGTCATATATCCTTACCTTGCTACAATGTACCTTTCTTTAACCTTTAGAACACTGAAGGTATCATTTGGCTGCCAATTGTTTATGGGTTAGGCAGCAGGGAGAAGGTTAACTTGTGTTCCCCTGTTCCACGCAGGACGCGTTCACGCGGACGTTCGTGCAGCACTACTCGCGGATCTCGGTGGTTCTGGTGAAGGCGAGCGACGCGGACACCATGTCCAACCGTGTGGTGCACATCAGCGTGCAGCTGTTCAGTAACGAGGACCTGACACGACAGATGGTGGAGACACACCAGCTGCTGGAGATCGTGTTAGCCGCACTCGTGCACATGATGGAGAACATACAGATACAGAGTGCATTACATGGTACAGTATCGTTACTGTTGTACAATGTAGTTAACCCGGTACATCGTTACCAACGTGTAAGAATTTTGGGCTTAGATTATCATTAGATTTTCATTAGAAAACAGTTAGAAAACCGTTAGAAAACTGTTAGAAACTGTTAGAAAATCATTAAAGTTTCTAAAATACAGAATGATACAGATACAGAGTGCATTACATGGTATGTCAGCAGGAAAGTTCACATGTGTTTCTAGCCATCCTAGAATTTTTTGTTTGTTTGACATAGCATCATGAAGAGCGCCATGTAATTGCGACAATACTAAAGGGTGTCCAGAGCCATTCTCAAGGGAAAATTTTGAAACCTTGACCCACAAGGGCAAATTTTGAGGGGCAAAAATTCAATGAATCTCTTTCCATACCTTTACATGCTGAATTGGCCAATGTTCTCCAACTCAAAGAATAATGAGCTAGTACATATTGGATGCCAAAATGCTAGAAACTTTATTGTTTATGCTAGACTTTTGACTGTAAAGCACATTGAAATCCTGTACTACATGGTCTGTATAAGATGGTCATACGATGTTCCTTGTACAATTTATGTGCAATAAGGTGTATATTTTCTTTCCTAGATCCTGATCACAACTTCCACATGGTGGTGAACTGCTCCTCCTCCACCCTGAAGGACCACCGCTATTGGCCGCTTGTCAGTGACCTCATCAACATCCTGTCCCACCGCTCCACGGCCGCCATGTTTATGTCTAACTCCGCCCTCCTCAGCATGTGGGCGGAGTTTGTGTCACTTTTTACTGGTGAGTGACAGATCAGTAGGCCAATCCCATAGCCCCACACATGCCTTGAACATTTTGACCAAATCTTTAAAATATGACATAAAAATAGCACGTGCAGGCCTTGAAATACGTTTTTCTACATACCTGTACTGTTGCTTGCTACATCAAAAATTACCTCATTTGCATGTTCGTGAGTCTTAAAGGGTACCCTTACCATTCTCTTTCTGTTCCAGGTATGAACTTGAATGTGCGGGAGTTGGAGCACCATGTGGAGTTTGAGCCCAACACCTACTACGCCGCCTTTTCAGCAGAACTGGAAGCCTGTGCCTCCCCCATGTGGACCCTCGTGGGACACTGCAAACAAAAGGTCTTCTGATGTCCCCAAGTTTGGGTTTATTAGTCTATAGATATTTCCTCTCATTGCTTTTGGATGACATGCCATATATTCCATTGCTCTTGATGTTCAACTCTTTTGTTACTGTGAACAGTTTTACATACTGATGATTGAAAAAAATTTTGTATTGTCCAGAACACTGACCACCTGTGCAGGGCAGTTATAGACAGCTGCCTGACCACACTACAGGACTGGTTTGATGCCATCTGCTTTCAGGAAACGGTAAGGAAATTTTTTATCTTTTATAGCCAACTTGATCATGATGACAATGAAATTATAGGAAATGAATTTATTGTTTCACTTTAGCATTTGGCTTCTTGATAGCAGATCTTTTGTTAACTTAAAGAGATTCTACAAAGATTGTGGAAGAACTGGAAGTATTTTTACACTTGACAGAATGACATTATGTGTTTATCTCTCCATCCTCCCAGCCACCACCACTCCAGGTATCCTTCCACTTCCCTCTACACAGACATTTGGCAGTGTTTATCAGCCAGGTATGTGGGCAAGTGTATATTATTACAGTGTATATAGTAAAAAGTATATTTGTATATAGTACTTACTATATATATATATTATATAGATTTGTGACCTACATAATTATGTATATGGTATTACCACTGATACTGTCTTAAAGTAAATTATACTGACCCTAACAGTCAGGTGTATGTTTTTCATAAGTTCATGCTTTAATGTATAAGACTAAGTGCATGTTATTTGTTATGACAGCTCAAATATAGATCTAAGGGTGGGTACCGGTTTGGCTGGACCATATCCAACCCAGTGATAGGTCCAGGAACCAAGTCTAACAAACTGAAAATCGTTCAGGCTCAGGTCTGCATCTGAACCTGAACTTCTGGACCTGTACCGTTGCGTCGTGTGGTGTAGTGGTACATCACTGGACTATGAAACGGGGAGACCTGGGTTCGATTCCGGGTCGTACCCGAACAAGTCCGAACATGCGCCGCGACGTTGTACCCTTGGGAAAGGTACTTTACACGACTTTCCTCACTTCGCTCAGGTGAAAATGAGTACCTAGCTTCGGCTAGGGACGTCCCTCGGATAGGACGTTAAATGGAGGTCCTGTGTTTGGGAGAGCCACACCCCACGCACGTTAAAGAACCCACCACACTTATCGAAAAGAGTAGGGGACCTTCCCGGTGTGAGTGGTTCAAACATTACAATCTGGTCTCAGGTTTGACATCTTTGAAAAGGTGATAGTCACCTGTTATGTCAATCCTTCCACAAATGTGGTAAATCGTCATAAATAAATAAATAAATAAAAGTACCTGGACTCTAACCTGATCATGCCAAACTGGTACCCACCCCTAATCAGCACCATTTTCAGAATACATTGGGAAGTTCATCATATGCCAAAAAAACAGTTTCTGCTGCTGTTATCATTGGAGGTATTGTACTCAAGCAACTGGATATGATTTTGGAAATGGTCAAAAACGAGTTCACCATAAATGTACTTATTTGTCCTATAGGCTGTGAGGAACGGTGCCATCAACATTGACACCATCCTGGGTGATCCAGACTTCCTCATCAAACTCATGGCACATCCACTGCAGATACAGGTCAACTTTACTCATCCAGAATTACTTCAAGATAACATAATCTGCATGGATGTTCATTTCATGACAAGTGGACTTCAGTTTATAGAGAGCAGACAGAAGGCACTTAGCTGCATCTTGTTAACTGAGATTATTGTTGGACTGGTAGTACAAGATACAAGATGTCTTTATTGGTTTGTCACAGTTCAACAAACTGAGCTGAAAACCAATGTACAACCAAATGAAAATTATCTTATAAATACTTAAATTATACAAGTTATGAACATGGTTCTGTCCTTGGTGCTGAATACTGTTGGTCAAGTGTCCAAAATCTTCGCTGGGTGTTCATTTCAGAAAATCCCTTTTTCTGGCAAAGCTGTGTTTGTATTCTCTTTTATTTTGAGTTTTGTATGATAATTCATTATGTATAGTATTTTTTGTCCTTCTAGGTTACCGTAGTAAAAGCCACAAAGTAACTGGTATCTTTGGTTGTATTATACATAAAGAGTGCCTGTATTTGACAGGTGGCCCTGTGTGAGATCCACAGCGGCATGTGGGTCCGTAACGGTCTGCAGATCAAAGGTCAGGCCATGACCTACGTGCAGTGTCACTTCTGCTGCTCCATGATCGACCTGGATCTCTACCTGCTACAGGTATGCACAACTTTCTTACACTTACACAAAAATATCAAAATCATGCAAGGCCAATTATTTTAGAAGAGTTTGTTCCGACCTTGAAGTGTATCCAGTCATAGTTGGTTAAAGTATATTGTATTTGCTCCATGGAATTATTACAAAAATGTAGTAATTTATCTGCCCTAAGAGCAAAACTGTTGTATGTCATTGAAAATATGTTTTTTTATTTATTAGAGGATTTCCAGCATTTTTATCAAAATCAACAAATGGATACACTTTGTTTTCAGCTCTTTTCATTTCGTAATTTTGTGTTGTAAACTGTAATATTGAATAGTGATATGATTGGTATCAGCAGGAAAGTATGAAAATCCTGTGACAGTCTGAAGTACATTATATTTGCCTCATGGAATGATTGCAGCAATATTCTAGTTAATAACAGCTTTTCTTGTGAACTTCTTAGCTGTGTGCTTCCAGACTGGACCCAGACTACTTTGTAAGAACTGTCCTGGAAAGGTAAAACTATCTTTTTCATGCTTATAAAGTATATCTGTATTTCCGTGGATGAGTTCCTGTCATTGGCTGTGGTGCCAATTTGTTGTGACCAATCAGCATTCCTCTCTCATCTCACTCCCAGATTTTCTGTGGATGAGTTCCTGTCATTGGCTGTGGTGCCAATTTGTTGTGACCAATCACCATTCTTCTCTCATCTCACCCCCAGATTTTCCGTGGATGAGTTCCTGTCATTGGCCGTGGTGCCGTCGGCCCTTCCCATGAACCCCGAGCAGGAGCTGTCGATGCTGCAGGGGGCGCTGCTGCTGCTCTGTACGCTGCAGTCCGCCCGCACGCACCTCGGGCTGAACGAGCGTGACCTGCTGCGACAGGAGATGGTCTCCCAGCTGTGTATGAGTGACAGAACACACAGCCAGCTCATGGACTTAGTATCCTTCACTTAGTAACAGAACAGCTCCGTATGTTCTCAGTATTCCTAAATTTCATTTTGTACTTAAGTCTTGCATGATGAATGAAGAATTGATTTTCTACCTTATGGCCACACCATAATATTTGTTGGTTCTCAGATTTTTCAGAAAAAAATATGAATTGACAAGGCAAAAAAAACAAACAGACGTAGGCATCCTCTGATAGCCCCAAAAGCTACAATATGTGTCGTGTAGTCAACATATATACCAGGCTGTTTACAATGAATTTTAACCTTTTAATCAAACCAAGGCATTGATAGATGGACAAACTTGTCTGTAACAACTAGGAAGGCAAGGAGCTTTCTTCAACTTTTTGGGCCAAAATATGAGCATTTTGAGGTTGATTCAGAACCTGAAGGAAGCAAGCAAATCCAAGAACCAATTAATTAAATCGGTGTGGTCTACTGCTACAATTAAATATGTGATTTTAAGCAAACCCATGCTATTCATTTCCACAATAACTGTTAAAATTTGCTTGATGTAGAATTGACTGTGGGGAGGGGAATAGTAAGTGTGTGCACATTTTCTACATGCCTGATTACTAGTATGACAACCATTCACAGAAAACACATATCAAGACATTGCATGTTGAGCTGTCAAACTTTACCCTGCCTGGATTTTTTTTACAAACTACCTTATAGTATTCTCCTTGTAGGAATGAGTACATGCATGCCAACACAAGGAAAGTTTGACCCCTTAAGTAACACTTTCCTTAGCATCCCAAGATGCCGGAGAGAACGACCGGCAGTAACCAGATGAAAGACTTCGAGGCAACCTTAAAGGAGGTAAGTCTTAACCATCAGTCAAATCCCTAAGAAAAATTTCATTAATTAATTTGTTATTTCATCATGTAGAAAAAATATGCAGATCTAATTCATCCTGTGTTTTTCCTTTGTGCAACCTTGGTTTATTTTTCCAAAGCCAGAAGAATATTGGTTCTGGCTGCATTTGTATACCATTTTTTGCATGTTTCTTTGATAGCATTTTCATGCAGCTAATATAACGTTTGTTAGATTTCACCATAGCAGACTTCCATTGAAATGAGTGGTAGAATTTAGATGAAAGTTTCAGTGTTGCAAAAAAAGATCTAAATGACTTTTTAATCGTAGGTTGCAGACTTCAAGGCACCCAACTTTGAAGCAGGAGGAATGCAGCAGGGCACATACACACCTAAAGGTAAATATTGTACAATTGATTAAGTTGGCGTGGCCTTAGGTAGGAGTATATTGTCACTGTAATATTCCTATTATAAAGTATAGGACTTTTTTCTATGTAATATTTCCCATTCTTATTTATTTTGTTCAAATTTATTGAAAGATACTACATTTGAAAGATATTTACCATGAAATCCTTGTTGCAGCCTCTGTATGGGAGCAGGAATTTGACCCCATCTTCATCCTGGTGAGAGCTGTTCACAGGAGGGACTTCCAAACTGCCATGGACAGATATACTACACAGTAAGGCATTCTACTCTACTGATTTCCCAGCCAATTTCAATTTTGTTTTAATTTCTCTCAGACTTGGAGTTTGTAGTCAACTCTCTGCTGTTTCTGTACGTGAGGAAAGAAAATAAAAGAAACAGCCATCTAAAATGAGATTTGGTTGTGGAAAATCAACTGAAAATTAGTTAACTAGAAGGTAACATTTGCAAAGCAAATGCATATTATTTATTTATGTTTACGTTCACATAGGGTTTGCTCTGTTAATATGGTCAGGCAGGAGTCTAAATCACTCCAGCTATAAGATTGCAACATGATGTAACCCAACACCAGTTACCATGGCAACAGATATCTGGTTCAGGTCATTGACCTTATTGGTTTGGAGAAGAAGAGGAAACAGAGCAAAAACAATGTGTTTTCCTTCGGTAAACATGACAAAAGATTCAATCTACATTGTGTGTATTCTCCTTCAGTATGAAGCAGGCTGGACTTGTGGAAGGCAGCGAGTCCCCCTGGCCTCCGTTCCGCCAACTGCAGAAGGTCCTGCACACCTACCAGGGGGTCAGGAAGATCCTCAACAGCAAGACCCTTCATGGGCTCATCTTCTGCATACTCTGGAAGGTAGGGGGACTTACCTGTATGTCTGTATCTGTATCTGTATAGCTGGTACTTTGTCGTAACACACCAGCTTCGCATGCATTATGACCCTAAACAAGCACACACAGAAAAGTCTATAAAAAAATAAACAAGGAAAAGTACAACAAACTTTAGTACTGAAAGCCATCCATACCTATGAGTTACCTTTTTAAATCATCAAATTGCAAATTTTGTCCTCTTTAAGCAACTACAATACAGATTTTAGAAAGTTGACCAACAGTATTCAGCACCAAGGACAGGACCATTATGACATTTCTCTCAGTTCTCTCAATAACCTACATGTATCAATTAGCAAATATGCAGCCTAATCAGCAACAAATACAGGCTCTATTTCTTATGGAAAACTCATTCAGCACCAAGGACAAGAATATTCAAGTTTCACTGTCATTTAGCACCAAGGACAGATACTGTGTGCCCTATACAACACTTTGCCACTACAGGCAATATCATATTTGTGTGTATCAGAGCTATTCAGACTTGAACTTTATTTCTTAACCTACTTTTCTTTCCTCCCTTAGGCATTGACCCTGTCCCAGTCTCTGCCTGAGCCCATTATCTACCTGTGTATCTACCTGTTGGACATGGCAGTGGACCCAATGTGCAACAAACCATCTTCAACTGCGGTATGTAACACCTGCTATAAATTATGTCATGTTTAAAGTTCAAGTTTTTGTTCAAACACAAAAATGTGACAAGTCTCACTGGGTCAGTCTACTGAGGAAGACCAGAGTGACTGGTTGAAAGCTCTGGGTGAGAATGTGTTGGAACAAAAGTTTTAACTTTAAACATGTAAACACAGATGAACTTTGATGACACGTAGGATTTTTTTTTTAATTTATGTGTTACTAATAATTCTTGTGTGAGTTTAAGATGGCACATCTGTGAAGTTCAGTGTGAGTTTAAGATGGCACATCCCTGAAGTTCAGTGTTTTCTGTAACTGTGCAGAAGGATGACGTGGCAGACCGAGTTCCAGACAAGAGATGGGAGCAGTGGTTTCCTTCCAGCAATATCCTCACTAACCTCAGGTAAACTGTACTATATTATATATTACTTACCTTGAGACCAGTGTTCTAGCCAGCCAGAATTTTTTTTCGTCATGTCACTTGTCTAGGGGCATGCTCCCCTTGGAAAATTTTTAAATCTTGACCCTCTGAAATGGTATTCTTGCATTTTAAGGGGCACATTTTGCTTGTTGATTAATCTTAGTGTAATGACATTGTTTGCTATATCTTTACATGTTACAGTTTTCCCATCTACCAATGCAGTGATTTGATTAAAAGCTTAAAGCTCATTGTTTAGATTTTAAACTTGCCTCGTACAATGTATGTTGACTTCATGGCACTTATCATAGAATTTGGGGCTATTATTATAGTATGCCTAGGCCTGGTTTTTTTTTCTGCCCTGTCGCTTTATTCTTTTGTCTTAAAAAAAATCGAAGAACCAACAAATTAGATTGGTGTGGCCTTGTGGAAATTTGTGAAACTTATCCATACTTCTCCTCCCCCAGACATGAGATACAGTACATTACAGTACCCCTGCCTCAGCAAGAGTCTATGGAAGACCTGGAAGACATCCCCGAGGAAAACGAAGAAGACATGGACACCGCGTCTCCCAGTCCCAGCCGTCTCGGCTTCACCCTGGCACCGACTGTCGTACGAGGCGGCAACGTTGTCGTGACAAGGTCACGCGAAGGTCAGACCAGGAAAAGTCCCGATGCCAGTACGAGTAGTGAGTCTAGGGACCAGGGTTCAAGTAGTTGTGAAGACACAAGTGGTAGTGAGCCGATGGACACGACAAGTTCGTCAAACGAGCTGAAAATGGAGGTGAAACAAAGCATACTGTCCATGTTGGTTAAGCTGCACGACAAGCTGTCGAAGGACTCGGAGCACTACCAGCCGCCCGAGACTTGGGAGGACGCAGACCTGAAGTGGAGCAGGGGCGCGAGAAGGCACAAGGCGCGGGACGGAGCTCGTGTCATCGGCAGACTACTGGACAGGATCGCATCAACGTGCCAGGAGAACCTGGACAAGCTGAAGCAGCTCTGTTGTAAGACGGCTCCGAAGAAACTCCAGAGAAGGGCTTCAGATGGGGGTGACAGGGAAGAGAGGTAATACTGTTCCTGTTTTGATATGATTGATAAAATCAAGACGAAAGTATCAGTGAAACATAGTATTTAGATATGGCGCTGTGGCTCTTATATGCCACAATGCTCAGGTTTTTGTTTAACAGATTGAGAACTTTCATAATCTTTTTGTTACTTGATATCTTATGTGAAAGTTTATAGAATGAAAGAATTGGTACTGTAACATTGGTTATTAAAACATTGTTATTATTGATTGTTTAGGAGAAGAAAGGCCCGTGACAAACAGGCCAAGCTGCTGGCTGAGTTTGCCGCCAAGCAGAGAACCTTCCTGGAATCCACCAGCATGGAAGGCAAGTTCCAGGAAAACTTGTTTATTTGTGTGTCTTCATACACTAGGACATGTCTTAGTAGTTACAATACATGTACATGTTTAAAGGTAGAACTTTCATTCCATTACAAAGAATTTTTCTCACCTAGAGCTTTCAACCAATTACTCTGGTCTTCCTCAGTAGACTGACCCAGTGTGGCTTGTCACATGGCTTAGGTGAAGTGTGACATCAACACTGGGTCAAAGGTATCTAGAAACCAATGTCAACCTCCATCACGGGAACTTTCATAAGATGGTGGAAGCTTTTTTCATCAGGTCCCATAACCCTTCACTCAACTGCGACAGGGATTAAAATTGTTTACCAGATACCTTTGACCCAGTGTTGACGTCACACTTTAGAGAAGCCACATGACAAATCTCACTGGGTCAGTCTACTGAAGAAGACCAGAGTGATTGCTCAAAAGCTCTAGGTGAGAACATTTATTCTTGTGTTGGAACAAAAGGAATAGGTATGCTTATAACTTATGAATGTCGAAATGTTATCAACAGAAGATGACTCTGGAGAGGGTGCATCAGCTGAGTCCCCTGAGAAGGAAGTAGTAGAGGAGGAGCTGTACGACTGTGTGATTTGTGGTCAGACTGACCCGTCCACTCCGGACAGGCCGATAGGAAGGGTGGTCCTACTGCTGGCATCCAGTGGTCAGTCCAGTCAAAGACTAGAATTTAACTCTAAGACTAGAAGACTAAAATGTAGCCAGTATATGTCTGAGTGTTACGCTTTATACAAGTTTTGTAGTAATTTTGTGAAACTATCATTCTTTGAAATTCCTTTAAATTTTTTATCATTAGTACAATGGAATACAGCACAAAGCGGAACTTCTTCTTGAATCCATTGGTAATAGAATACAGTGTCTTTCAAATTCTGTATACCGTGTTAAAGTTTCTGCCTGTAGTTAGATGAAAAGTTATGTCTGATTGGTCCTTTGTATTTTAAAATTACGTCTGATTGCTCCCTTGTGTTTAAAAGTTATGTGTGATTGGTCCCTCGTGTTTAAAAGTTATGTCTGATTGGTCCCTTGTATTTAAATGTTATTTCTGATTGGTCCTCTGTGTTTAGTGTTGGGACACAGGTCGTCCAAAGATGACCCCCCACGGCTCCCCTGCAGTGATGGGATGACCTTGGACATGTTAAACTGTGGAAACACCTACGACCTCAGACAGACAGTCATGCAGGATAACTTCCAAATGGTGAGAAGGATCCACACAGTACACAGATATATCAAGTGTTAAACTTACAACATCTCATATTGATGAAAAAGTCTCTGTGAGAACTTTTCTTTCCATCATTTTTTGAAGGTCAACATGTACCAACAGAAACCCATCTTTAAGTTATTGAGCTAGCTGAGTTACTAAACAACATTCTGACCAACAAATGCTAGATAAGTACAATGTAACCTTGGCAGATGTAAAGGATTGTGCATGGATTGCATTTGTAGCCAGATGCATGCTTGTCATAGATTGCAGCATTTCAAATCTATATGATGATGAACCTGTGTTTACAGAGTGAAGCTTTCAATGTAGTCCAGGGAAATATATTTACTGTGTGTTGAATCTGCAGAGTTCCTGCCTCCAGTCTGTGAGTGTGGGGTGGTTTGGAGGGGTTTATGTACAGTCCTGTGGACACTTCCTCCATTCTGACTGCCACAAGTCCTACATACGGTCCCTAAGGGTAAGTACACACATTTATCCTGCTATCTGATGCTATACAGTACACTTTTGTGTAAATAGTGAAGCAAAAGGAAGATACCACACTTTCTGAGGTCCACAATGCATGGAAATTTTTTGGGCATCAAATTTTTTTCTTGTTGTCCATCTTGTGTGTTTTCAGCATTTTATGTGAACATCAACCTTCCTCTGCAATCTTTTCCCCTCTTCTTACCCCAATCCTGTTCAATCCATTCCTGGTCCTTCTCAGTCCCCAGATTACCAGCACACCACCCAGAACATCGATGTGGACAAGGGAGAGTTCACCTGCCCCCTCTGCAGACAGCTGGCCAACTCTGTGTTGCCATGCCAACCACATCAGCACCCGCTACAGAAGGTCGTCCTGGAGAAGAAGAGATACGGGTCTCACAAGAAAACCACTCCTGCTAAAGAGCAGATCAAATCTGAACAGGTCGGTTTGAACTGTTATGTTTACCTTTGCAGAAAAGGAAAACATACTATGTTTGCTCAGTTTCTTCTTCTTCTGTTCCAAACAAATAAGGTCAATGACCTGGACCAGACGTCTGTCACCACGGTAACTGGTGCTGGAGCAGACACCCTGTGGTGTTGGGTTACATTATGTAGCAGGGCAGAGTTGGAGGGCCTGGGGCTGTTCACTGTGCACATGAATGTATTTGACTTAGAATAAACAGTGCAGTAGTTTGCTGGGCTAGACCATGGGACGGTTATCATTATGCATTTGCTTTGCAAATATTACCTTTTTTGTTATCATATGATCTACAGTAACTAATTATTTAACTTTAAGGTGAGCTATGAATTTTTATCATTCAGTAATTTTATAATTCAGTATGCCTTTGTAATGAAGATGTGAAGAGTAGACTACTTTCACATTTGTTGAAAATTCATTTCTGATATTTCTATAATTATCATTATGTTAGAAGTCTGCCATTTAAAGAAACTGTCAGTGCATTTGCCTCTTGTATTGCCTGATTTTTTTGTGCATGCATATGTGTTGTTGTCTGTATGTAGACTTTTGGGAAACTTTTTGTTGACGAGAATAATATCCAGATGAATACCTCCATCCTTCTAACTTGCCTCTAGCAATAAAATAGGATCCTTGCTTACTCACACATGCTTCCCCCTTAACTTACACTTATTACTCACAATTATTGGTGATTCCTCTGGTACTCTTTTTAGGGCCATGTAATCATATTAGCAAATATAATGACCTTGATATGCATGGATGTCACCAACATCTGTCATCAAGTCTTGTGCACAGCAAAGAAAATGTCAACAGGATCAGTGATGTCACTGAACCTTGGTTACGAACTTCAAAGCTACTAGATACCATAGACCTGCTCTTTAAGTATGCACCCTGCTGCCCCTACCTACCCCTCCCAAACAGAAATGATTTATCCCTCATATGATTTCAAGAGATGTGAGGGGATAGTGCATTGCTGCAGGATGACGAGGGACATGTAGAAGCCGAAGAGATGTCTAATTCTTCCAATGAGCTGACAGATGCTACAAATGATAGCCAAGGAACTGACTTAGTACAGCACAATGGACATGGAACAGCAGATATTCAGCAGGAACCAGCACAAGCAAATGCTGTTGATGTAGTTGTCAGTAATGAACAAGCTGTCCCCACAGAAAACAATACTGGCGACTTTTTGCAGCCCCAAGGGTTAGATGCTGTAACACCAGCACAGCAAGAGGGTTTGCTTGCACAGCAAGATTTATTGCAACAGCAAAATGCAACAGCTACAGAGTCTGATATCAGCACAGATCATCCTGTAGATGTTCAGCTGCTTTGCAACCTAACATAGCTTTGCTACAGCAAGAGGAGTTGGGAGATAATGTAACTGAAGATATCAGTTCAACATCCGTTACTGTATCTGATTCAACGGCAGCACAAAATATTGAAGGAAATTCAGCTTCTGCTGCTTACGATGGGACAGCCACTGATAACCTGTTGACATTGTCAGTACAGCAGGATAGTTCAGCTTCTGTAACCGATGTCACTTCAACAGAGCAAGAGAAAAATGTAGAGGCGCAGAGCTTGCAAAGTAACACAGCTGCCATGCTTCAAGATGCTGCTGCAATGTCACAAGAACAGGGTGAAGCTTCATCTTTGTCACAGCAAGAAGGGGTTTCAACTATTGCTTTGCCGCAGCAAGAAATTGGAGCTGATGCCATGCAGCATGAGGAAAACGGTGCTGCAGGTTTTCTGCAGCAGGGAACTGATTCTGCAGCTTTACCACAACAGGAAACAGACACTGCAGCAAAGGAAAATGATGCTGCAGAAAGTGAGAACGGTGCCGCAGCCGCTCCGCAGCTGGATAACGCAGAACCAGCGCAGGAAGCAAACCAGTCAGCCACTGCAGCAGCACAACAGCTAGATGACCAGGTGCTCGTCAGCTTGGCTTATCTTGGCTTGGCTTGGCTTGACTTCAGCAAGACTTGCAGCATGGAGAATTGATGCATTGCAGCAGTTTTTGCAGTGTTGGTCTAGAAAAGTGGACTGTTTTAACAATCAGCACTGCATCTTGCGTTTCAGAAATACACCTTTGCAGTGAACAAGCTTGTCCCTATTGCTTCTCCTCCCCTGCTACTAAGAATTGTTCCTTTTGCAGGATGTTTGGCACTTAAGAAGCCTGTGGTTACTAGTGCAACAATGTGCTGTGCTATGTTGCATAATGTGTACCTAACGTTACATGTACTTGCTTGAGATGTTTTTATTAGCATATTATGTACCATATACAATATTTGCAAGTTGCTGCTAAGATTAATTTTGTGCTGAAAGATTGATGCACTTTCTTATAAACGTTACATTGATTCCAGAAACACAACTCTGATAGTGTCAATATGATAGAGTGTTCTTCTGGTAGACAGAACCTTTTAATTACAAAAATTGTACATTTGTATGTTAAACCTTCTTCTGCTCTCATTTTTTATTGTAGGGGATTAAAGAGAAAAAGACTAAAGATCATAATTCTATCAAGACAGTCAATTTTATCAATTTTATCACTTCATTTGATAGGTAAAAAGCAGTGCAATACATGTAGCTCAATCGGGAAGAGTGCTCGCTTTTTCAAACCCTGGCTGGGCCATACCAAAGACTTTAATAATGGTACGTACTGCTTTCTCTGCTGCCTTTTAAAACATGTATTTTGTGATGACTGAACTGATTTTGGTGTTGTGTAGGAGAAGGCAGCTCTGGCACAGAAGGCTGCGGAGGAAAAAAAGCCGGAGGAAAAACAGAAGGCAGACCAAGCACAGGCTTCCACCTCCCAGGAGCCAAGTCAAGAAGACAAGTCTGAAGACAAAAAGGACGACGGTAAGAAATTACTTTATTTAGTGTGTTCATCAATTTAGGTTTCAGCAAACTTGAAAATCTTTTGAAAATATATCCACTGTCTAGAGATGCTTGTTTTCATTTAGAGAAACTGATGAGTTACGTGTACATTGTTTGTCTTTTGGCCTCGACTTTTTTCATGCTTAAGCTTGTACTGTGTTCTTCAGAATCTGCCTTTTTTTAGGGTGTCTCTCTTTCTTATTTTCCAACATTGGTTACACTTGTGCTCTTTCTGTGCATTTCATCGTCTTACTTTATTCTTTTTCTGTCAGATGCTACTAAAGATGAAAAAGATAAAGGCAAGTTTAATTTTGACTGTTTCTTTTCCTTTTCATTTATCACAGTGACTGTTATTATTTGTATTACAATTTCCTTACGTATACCTGCATGTCTAACCTTCATCGATGTACATGTATCCCCTTTGGTTTCCCCAATGTAACCATCACTTAGATTTCCTGAAATGCAAGAAAAAGTCTGGACAAAGATCCTTGTATATGTTCTGTATCCGTACAGCCGGTATAACTGCCCTTCGGCATAACACACCAGCTTTGCAGGCACGTGGTGTGTCAGCAGTTGGGTACATTACATCAAATGACTTGTTACACCTAACCATTGAACATCTAACTCTAAACATTGTTTAAAGCTACATGTATCTATATATGATAATGCCCCTACTGTACTTGGTGACAGCAAGTTCCACTCAGAAAGAATGAGTTTTTGAACACCTCAATCCTTGTGCTACAGAGTCGGGCCGCGTGAGTCCAGAGTTTCCGCGCTCCATCCCGACCCCGTGGCGGCAGCAGGCTCACGTCATGAAGGAGAACCAGACGCTCGACCCCAAACCCGAGTTCCAACGCATGATCAAAGACCTGGGGGAGGTCCTGAAGAAAGCTACCAATGCTGATTGTGAGGTAGATACATGTAGCCATCTTTCATTAGCTTGCAAATAGTTCTGATGGTAAGTACAATCTAACATGACCTACTGCCTATAACAATTGTACATCAGTTGACTGACAATTCTCACATTTCAGACTATGTAAAGTGAGGTAAATGTAGTATGATTCTATATGACTGATGGATAATGTCATTGGATTCCAAAATAATTACTGAATTAATTCATTTTGTATTCACAGTATTACTGTAGCAAAATTTCACCGTCAGAGAAAATGGAGGTGTTCACAGAACTATAATATGTTCATGGTTATGGGGAGAGGGGGAGGGGGGCAAAAAGTCAAGTTGATTTGTAAATAATAAATGGCCCTAACTGCGAATATAATAATATTGAAAGTACTGTGAAGAAGATTTACAGTATTTTATGGAGTGTCCATATTCTATCTTGCTTCTGTATGTAAAATGTAGATGTCCAAATTGTACCCTTTGTTTGCATCTGGCTGACACAGTTGAGAGTACTGGGCAGGGTACTGAAGGTATGTAGGTTAGAGTACATTGTACTTCCAGTGCTCGTGGTTGTTCACATCATCACATTTCACGTCATGTCACAGTGTCAACTTCAACTGTGTGCCTGCTGAAGACTACTATGATCAGTACAAGTTTCTTGCATGGACAAGGTCTTATTATTATTACTTGTAGCTGGGAGAAGGTTATACAGGTTATTGTATGTACTATATACCTGGCACTTCTGGCTCCTTCACCCACAAGCCCAGAGTTAAGCAACTTGTTGTGATTCAAAGCTTTATTTATGTAATCTATCTACTTGACAGTCCCTTCTTTAGCCCTCCTGACAGAAAAGATCATCATATCAGGTCTTTTATGGTCACCAATTCTGTCAGAAAAGTTGTATCACTTTCAGTTGTGTACATGACTATCACTGCATCTGTGAGTGCCAACATCACCCTTACAATCATTGTTTAAGTACCAAGTGCCTTAAAATTTGTTATCCAAATGTATGAATTTAATGAACTGTGACATCATCATATTTAAAGATATGCATGACTCAAAATTACCATTCATTGAAAGAGACAGAATTCTCTTGTGCTCTAAGACTGTTGGGTAAAAAAGATGCCAAGCTGAACTTTAACAAAGTTCTTACTACATATGAATATGTTTTGATGCAGGAAGATACCATTTTAAGGCAGGGGGTAGAGGCCATCATGGAGGATATCACCAAGGCAACCTACCCCAAGTACAAGGTGTTCCCCAAGAGCTCTGTGGATGAAAGCCTCAACGTCTTTGTCCACTCTGTGGCTAGGTCTGTCAGGATTTCTCTATGCTTTTATTACCTCCTGGGAAGGAGACATCCTTCTGCAGAAGGGTAGTGTTTTCTGTCATGTTTGTGTGTTCACAGCTGTAGCTCATGGAGGATTTGACGGATTTCTTTGATTTTTGGTATATGATTAGTTATTGGGGCCCAAATTATGGTATTTCAGGTGTTGAAATGAAATAATTGTACACCCCCTCGAACCACATAAGGTATGATTGTCTAATGTTAGGGACTGTTGTTACAGTGTATCTGTTAATCCGTCTTGGTTTTACAACGTGCTAGAATGGGGGTTAGCAGATCCAGATAGAATTCTGTTTTTGATTGTGTTTGTCAGTTCACACCTACCGGTATATCTCTATTCTCTATTCAATTTAACGACTGTTTTCCCCGAAACTGGGTATTAGACATGCTTGCATCAAGTGCAAGATTTTTTTTACAGTTTTAAAAGCTAATGATAATTGTTAATGATTTTTCAAAATAATTATTGTATTTATAATTACATGTATCTAGAGAGAGATTTATATATTCTTGTTTCTGTTCCACCTACTAGTATCTGTGATAAATTGAAAGACATTATGGCTGTTTAATAGACTTCTTGACCAAAAAAAGAGGGTATTTCTATCAGATCCAAGACTCTGCATCATTGGCAGATGTTATTTCTGTAGATTTCTGTCGACCAATAAAAATTCTTCTTTCTGTAGGACCAACCTGGAGTTGGAGCTGGTACAGTGTGGAAACACCATCGTCAATCACTCAAACTCCGGCAGAAAATTTGGCTTTGGTAAGAACATCAAACGCTCCAATAGGGGCTGTACAAGCAACCTCCATGGAGAAGCTCTGTACATGTTCGAGCAACCTCCATGGAGGAGTTCTGCAGAGGTCCATGGAGGTTGCTTGCAGCCCCTTGGTTGAACTCTTCACAGCTTCTACTGTGGCTGTCCTCATGAGAAGGGGGTACAATATAACCAGGATCTGAACTTGGAGTTGAGGAGATATCTGGCAAATTTTAAACTAAGGTCTTCCCTCCACTTTTGTAGGGAGGGCAGACATATAAGTAGGATAGGGCATTGTTGTAGCATGTACAGGTATATACGGGTCTGAGGATCACCCGTAGTGCACGTTTCTGTATCATGCTCAATCTTCTTGGTTTTGTTGTAAAGTAATGCTTTCTTTGCTCCTGTCCAGTTGACCTCCTGCATGTCCTGAGATTCCATTTCAACGCCACTGGGATGGACAGTCTGTGGACCAAGCTGACCACTCTGTACTCGGATGAGGAGGAGAGGTAATCATACTACATGACTTGTACATGTTTTTTTACTAAACAGCAATTTAAGAAAGAACAAAAAAGACACAGTGGTGGACAACTCTAGCACATTTGCTAATTTAGTCTCACCATTGACAAAGAAGAATGACAAATAACAAAACATGAAATGGGCGTTCCAAAATACAGGTAACATGTAAAATGTATCATTCTATGAATTTTTTTATTACATTTGAGCAGTTTTATATAAATAAACATTTAGTCAATTATAAACTGGTTATATGGGCTAGGGTTTGCAATCTCTTATTTGTTTGTTTTTACACCAATGCATAGATCTTCAGTACATTTTTCCTCAGGCCATATAAATGCTGAATTTGCTGCTATAATTTGTTTATTGCTGAATTTTCTTCTATAATTTGTTTATTGCTGAATTTGTTGCTTTAATTTGAGCTTATTTTTCAGGTTTAACCTGAGGCTTTATTCTGCATTGTGCATATTTTATCTGAAAGTAACATGCTGTCGTTTTATGCTTAATATATAACACAATTATTCTGTGTTGGTTTTGACTTTATTGTTTGACTTTATCCATACTAACTAATCTACTACATAATTATAACAGGTAGTGCTTCAATTTCTTTGAAATTCCCAACTGTATATTGAGTACAATGTACCTTTGGCTGTACATTTTAGGTAAATTTGGTAGTATGAGTACTACATTGTACCTAGCACCTGCAGAGTGCTAAATGTTAAGAACAAAAACATACATACAGTATAGGCTTACTTGCTTATCTGTAACTGATTCCTACAATCTATGCACAGCTCTGTTCTACTTATACTTAATTTAGTAAATGACATCAGCTTGTATATTTTGGGTTCTTTGGGAAGTTACTGCAAAATGAAAGAGTCTTTACTATTTTTTTCCTTCTGCCTATACTTGACACAAGTTTTGCATAACTGCACAACGATCTTATTCATTTTGAAGTTGAGCAAGCTGTTGTCACAAGGAACAATTTTTGTGTCATTTTTACATTGGCGACATTACTGTCATTTTTGGATGTGGCTGTTTTGATTTTAGACAGCCATATTGGTCAACTTCATGCATGCAACTACTTGCATGCTTTCTGTGGTGCACACGATTCATATCATTTTTGATATACGGAGTATGATTTTACTACTGATATTGCACTGGTGCGAATTTTGAGCAGTTTTCTTTGTTTCCATATCAGAAGATCGTGTAATACAGTCCGCTTGCATCCCGAATTGCTGTAAGTTGCGTCTCACATGTGGAGCCATTCTCAAAGTGTGATCATCGCTGTAATTTCCATGAATGACACTTTAAGATGGTCACAGTTGAAAGTCCTGAAATTCTACCATGCCATGGTCAAAAAGATTCAGAAAATGTCCAAAGAAATGAACAAGGAAATTCTGATTTCTTACATAATGTTGTGCCCTGGTACATTGTGACATGGCATGGCCGATTTCAAGATCATTCGGCTCTTTTCATATTTCGATCTTTTCCGTGATTTCTTTGATTTCTTCTATCAGTATTTCAGTCACCACTCTCCTCTCCTCTCCTGCTACAACCTTGCTGCTTCCTCAATAGCTTTTTCCTCCCATTACAACAATCTCTGCTGCAGCATATAATAAAAATACTGGTACAATTCATAGGGATCTCTCAACATATATTCTACAGGATCGTATAATCATTGATATTTGAAAAAGAAGGTGATGATTCAAATCAATTAATTAATTATTACATCAATAACAAATGATTTTACAGTAGAGCCAAGGTACCTTACTGCTAATTGTGTGCAGTAATACTAATAATTATATTCTTTGAACTTAGTGATTTACTAAATATTTAAGATTGATTCTACTAAATGATTATGACAACTTTCTGTAACCTTCAAAATCTGAGCTAATCATAAGAATACTGTCTCAGAATTGAAGCAACCAACACATTCAAAGCTTCTCCCTCTTTGCAGTATACTAACACTCGCTAATTTCCCCCCCTCCCTCCTTCTGTTCTAACCCTGTAACCCCCCCTGGGTCCCCCCCTGTACTCTCCCCGCCCCCCTCCCTCCTGCGTCACCCAGGACGAGCCAACTGTGTTGTTCTGTGTTTGACAGCATGCTGGTGGAGAAGAGAGAAACTCCCATGGTGCTTCGGGACGCCACCTCCCTGCTCATCCAGCTGACCTTGTCCCTCCCATGGCCCATCAGTAAAGGTCAGAGGTCACTTCACACCGAAATGATTTTATTCGTCATAATACCTTAAAGGCATCCAATGCGATTTCAGGGCAGCAAAAATGGAAATATTGTGAATAAGGCAATATTTGTGATATTGACACATACTGCTTCACATTTAATTTAGCACTTTCAAATCAGCATTTCATTCTTTGTGCATTTAAAACTGCAGAAATAAGCCCCAAGATGACTCCTTTATTTTTGGGGTGGTACCCTAAAAATGAGCTCAGGGTAATTCCAGTAAACATTTTCTGTCAGAATTTTGGGAATTTTTTGCTCCATGAGGGTCGATATACATTTGGATAGTGTGGTTTAGCATGCAGATAAATGACTAGAATATTGGCTTTAAAAAATGGGGTTTCCAAGCCCTAAGAACTGCACTGGATGCCGTTAACAAGGTTAATTTATTAGCCTCCATCAGGCCTTACTACAAGGGTATGGATTGTAGAATAATTGGCCAGGAGAGTCAGTCTGCGGGATGGGAGCGTTGATTTCCTTTTCTGAAGCAAATGAACTCTACAGTGGCAAACTCCCCTGGCCAATTATTCTGTCTATTTGGCTAAATTTTACTGTTTTTGAACCTAAATGTTGTTAGTCTGGTGGACCAATTTACCCATGTACATGTGCATGCCTGTGTGAACAAAAATACCCTGATATTGCAGAAGTTTTTATCTCCTTTTTCCTTGTACAGCCCACTTTACGTGCATTGTGCGGGTGTTGTTCACGTTGTTGTACACACAATCACTGGTGGACATCAGCTGTCGCTTCAGTGAGGAGGAGAGAAGAGCATGGAGGGAGGCCGGCACAGATAAAGCTGTAAGTACAGATAAAATGTATGGGTACTGACTAAACGCAGCATAGCAGGACCTTATTACAAAATGTTTAACATTGATGCCCATACAATGTACATTGTATATGGCAGCAAAATTATCTTTTGACTTAATGTTAAACATTTTGGGACTGCATGCATGCTTACAAGAGCCAATTACACTTTTATGTAGGTCATATTCTTATGATCAACATTTTGTCCATTTTTGGCATGTTGTCCACAGTTGCATGCCAGCAAAATCTTTTTTTTTTTCAAAATCAGGCGTGTGCTGATGTTATCCATAAAAATTACTTGCTGTGGACTTACATAGTATAGTTTGTATATATTAAATTTTGCTTTCCTGATGTATTTCACATAGATTTCTGTTGATTATTATGCACAGGTATTTTGACCTGGAATGTATTGTTTTGGTTCTCAATAAGAAATTTCACAGCAAATTAAGGAAAATGCATCTCTGTCACATGTTACCTGAATGCAATGTGTTTATGTTTGCAAACCCACTGACTTAATGCTATGCCTTAACACACTGCACAATGTGCTCACACATATACTAATCCACATTGTATTTTATGTAGGTAGTTGCATAAATAATAATTATTGTTTTAATTGCAGTACCACATGCATATTATGCTAACTAACATTTAAGGCACTAGTTGTAGCTTCATAAGTGTGTGGCCTCTCCATTAGGTTGTATACTTAAGAACAATATGTCTTTGTCTTATCCCATCATTAGCAGGATTAACTCTTTGAAAAAGTTTTCTTTTATTCGAAATAGAAACAATCAAAGGATAACTTTGTCATAGACAACTACAACTTTTGTACAGTTGTCTTAACACAATTGTACACGATTGTATACAGTACATACCAATGATGAGTTGTGATTCAAGTTATCATACATTCCTTTTTTCAGATGTCACTTTTTCAGAAGTTGCCATGAGTTGATTTTTCAGCATTCAGTTAAAGTAAGGGTAGTCAATAGATGGAAACTACATGTCATAGCTATAGATAGAAATAAAAACACAAAAACTAGGAGTATGTTTGGATGGACTGGATCAGCTGAATCAAAACAGGAGTTACATGTACATGTAATTCAGTCCTCAGAAAAATAGTCCAACATTTAATCCAGTAAACAGTTGAACTTTATTCCAACACAACAAGTACACAGAGATCAAATTTTCAATGACCACTGTACAGTTGCTTTCATCAGGATAGTTAATGACCAATCACTTCCAAACATAAACTCACGAGAGTTACGGTTACAGCAAAGTATCCATTAAGTCTCGTGTGAATAAGGTCACGTGTGTTATTGGTCATGAATTATCCTGATGAAGGCGACAGTGGTCATTAGAAATTTTATCTATCTTTACCCGTTGTGTTAAAATAAAGTTCAACAGTTTACTATGATTACTACCAACACAGATGAACTTTCATGATAACATTTAATCCAGTCGTCCTCTCCTCTTCAGAATGTGTATGTTTGTTTGTTTGTTTGTTTGTTGAGTCTTAGTGCGGCACTAATGTTGTCCATTGCTTGCATGTAGGCGAGTACAGAGTGCATGATGACAGAGAGCATGCTCAGCTGCCTGATATCACACCTCGTGCACACCCCGCTCTACCATGACACCGACACTGACCTGCAGCGCGTGGATGTAAGTAGGACGGTCCGTCAAGCCTCACGTGTCTCGTCTCTCAGCCGCGCTGTAGACTAGCGGGTCATACCGGTACTGCATGTGGGTGATGTGAACTTAACTGTAATCAAGCATCATTACATGTGAAGTGTTCTCATGTGCATTGTAGACCATAGAATTGGCTCAGTGTTCGTTAAATGAAATGCATGAAAAACATGTGAAGAAGACATGAAGCAGTTAAGTCACTGATAATGTGAAAGATTTCAAAATACACCAGGATAGATAGATTGCCAGGGGGTAAGTACATTGTACTAAGTTTGAAAACTGTTTTGTGCATTGCTGTTCGTTGTCTATACGTCAAGTATTACTTGGACCATACTATAATCAAATCCTAGTACAGCTGTTTGGTGACTGCATGCATGTGTAGGTGGAATTTGTTACGATGCTGACTGCAGAGAGAGTTGCACAATCTTTTTTTATGAAGAACCTTAATGGGAATGATGCCACGACAGTATACTTGAATTGTTGAAATTGTATATGTAACTTAGTTTTATGCATACTGAAATATTTGTTTAGAGTGCTGTAATTTCTGTCACTTTCTTGAGTGAATTGTGTTTTGTTTTTCTGTTGTCAGATCTCCCAGAGTGTGTGGTCCCCTCACAGTGTGGAGCATCACATCCAGAAGTACTGTATCCACAGTCTGAGGATATCGGCCTTGTTACGCAGACATCTCTTCAAGGAAGACCTGCCAGACTGCCAGGTACAAATATCTTATGTATTCCCTGTAAAACACTGGTCTGTCATGTAGAACACACAGGTCTATGTTACAGATTAGAGTTATGTTAAACTTTGAAGAGCTTGGAGTACCTTAGTTACAATGTATTTGTAGAAGAGAATCCTTTTCTTCAGTTACAAAATTGCATGTTGGCAAAAATGTTACATGCAATTTTTAAAACTACATGCTAAACCATACAACAACACATGTAGTAGTAGATTCTAAGTAGAGACAAAGGCTCTCAAACAATGTAGTATTTCTGTAACAATACATGATGTTTATATTCGCAAAAACATGTGCAAACATGATACATGTACTGGTAATTTTCAACTACAAGCAATGCTAGAAGTTACTTGCACATCACAGGTTGCATACTTCAAGCCCCTATTATTGATAGGGAACCTTTGTGTGTAGTGTATTAACTATTCCATTCTGTTACAGGACCCAGAACTAGAGTTCCAGACACTAGTGAAGTACCTGGACTTGCAGCATGCCCCCCCTCCCACCCGGGGCGATGCCTCTGCCGTACGGGAACGACCGTTCACTAGCGCCTCCTGTCTGCACTGGGCCGTCCCTGCAACCCAGATGATCTCACACTGGTGCCAAGACTTCACCAGCTTTGTCAACAGAAAACAGGGCCCTGCTAAGGTATGCATTTCTCTAGTTCTGTCTTACAAACCACTTTCTTGAGTCAGATTGAAGGAGATGTATCAAGTAAAAGTGCTGTAATTCACTATTTTTTTGTGGTACCATACTTTTATTTTCATGTTTTTTTCTGTCACTGTTCGTGGTTTTCACTTCTGTACCACAAACTTATCATTACTGTGAGCAAATAATTCCAACTGCTTTTTTGCTACACCTACCGCCACCGCAAATATATAGTTCTGTGAACTTGTCTATTTTTCTCTGACCGCAAACTTTTGCTACTGCGAACATAAAGTGAATTACAGTTACAGTGTCATGTCTAAAACTCATTGAAAGTGTTTGCTTTCATTTTGCTTTTTTTTGCATGCTACCTTTCATCATACAGAAGCTTTTCCCCAGTCATTTTTAGTCTCTATGTCCCTGTTGATGAGACCATCTCATCTGTCCTTGGTGCTGATTTACATGTTGTGTTACAAAATTCTTCCATTAGCACAAATAGGATGGAGTGCCAATCATAGTTTTGAAAAGATGTGTGCTGTTTATAATAGCCCACATGTTGTTTTCTATGGTTTGCAAGCAGCTGCAAAATGTTTTCAAATTACTGTTCTGCAACAAACATTGTACTTGGATGAAGGTTAGACGTTTGTTTCCTATTGCACTATCAAAAAATTTGTCTTTATTCTATTTGAATATCAATTAATAGTTCGTGGTTATAAACCTGTTAATCTTGAAATCTCACCAGTGTCACTGACGAAAGGTAGTTAATGCTACCAAAAATGTCTGACCGTCTGACCAGTTGTTTGAGTAACTGTTTTTTTTGCATATACATACATACTTATTCTATACTATTCCCAGGTATCTGAAACAAATTTGGTGCAGTACACCATGCACATATTACTACCCAGATTTATCTGTCTAGTTAGAGACAACTTTGTGAAAGACCAAGTAGGGGTATATTGACATTCAAGAAAGGTGACTCGCCCGATGACACAGTAGGTTGTCACCGTATGACAGCTTATCCAGGTTCTGGAGTATTTTTATCCCTGTGCTAGTGCTGTGTACCAGTTTGCTGGACCGGTTCCGAATTTGAAAAGTAAAAAAAAAAATGAACATCTGGAAACAGTTCTGGGCTTACAAAAAAAAAATCATGTCACATTCCCCTTCTTGTTCTAAACCATCTAAAATTTGCACTGGAAAATGAAGAAAACATTGCCATTGGGCATCGTCAAGTGTCGGCCTCCGTAAATTATGTGGCCATAGTTTTGTGCCGACCAAACAACATAATTCCTTCTAAAACCTGGTGGTACAGTGCGCACTTGAAATTTTGCGGTAAAGATGGCCCATTATCCATTGGGAAATGTTCACTGAGAAGTCGCTTCCATATTTTGTATATGCCCTGGGTTCCGGTCCAGACCTGAACCTAAGCTTCTGGAATGGAATCCAGATCTGAACTTGAATTTGGGTTTACATGTATAGGTACACAGCACTACTCTGTGCCACACGTACATGTTCAGTGTCCTCCTCTCACCTCCACCACATTTTCCTCTTCCTCTCCTGTCTCCTCCTACATTTCCTGTGATAGCTGCAGCCTAGAGGTGGTTATAAGGTAAAATTCTGCCTTATTTGGCAATAAAGTCAACCCTAACATAGCAGCTTGTAGTATAATTCCTTGTCATAGACTTTACACTTTCTAATTGTGGTTAAACTTAATTTTTATCTTTTTTTCCAGTACTAATTCGACTCGAGTAGTAAAGCATGGTAGAAATGATTTTTGCCCTTCAGTGTAACCTTTTTTTGTTTTGGTGATTTTTAACCTTAACTTTACTACTGAAAGCTCACAAACCAAAGTTTCGACACGTAAAGAATGATCCCATATAAAGTGTAAAGTCCCATCTAAAAAATCCTTCAGTCCTATGGAATTAATGTTTTATTTACTTTTATTTATTTTGAGCTTTTGATGAATAAGTGTCAATTTTTTTTCCTTTCAATCCCTTTTTATTTTCTGTTCTAAATACAGACAGATAAGACAGTTGTTATTTGAACAAATGAGAGAAATCATATAATAAATCCAGTTTATATTACAGCAGGATTTCTTATTAAAGAGATCTGTACGTCATATACTTCGATAGTCCAACATGAAGCTTGAATCAATGTCATTGCTATAGAAAAGTTACATTTCAAAGCTAAATGTAATAGATAGAAATGCCATTAACAAGATAGTTGAAACTCTTGTTTAAAGACAGCTTCTCAAAACTGTTACAGTCCCTGCTACTGAAGAACTTTGCGTGGAAGCTGCCTTGCCTCCTGCGCCCGCCGAGTTCGTACGACAGCATATTCCAGTACCATCGTCAGCGGCAGTGTACCATGTGCTGCAGCGTGCCCAAGGAGCCGGCACTGTGCATGGTGTGCGGGGAGCTGCTGTGTATGAAGGGAGGCTGCTGTCGACAACAGAGCGTCATGGAATGTGTGCAGGTGTGTTCTTTATTTGTGTAGTACAAGTTTTTAGATACCTGAATGACTGCTCTCTGTACGTTAGCAACAGTAGGCATCCTTCCATCTTGAAAGATAATGATAGCACTCCAGGTCTTGTGTTAGAAACAAGTTGCTTATAAATTCATATTAGAGATAGAGGCCAAGTACAGGAAAACTACAGCAGAGGAAAACTACAGGATGATACCCAGCAGAGGAAAACTACAGAGTGATACCCAGCAGAGGAAAACTACAGAGTGATACCCAGCAGAGGAAAACTACAGAGTGATACCCAGCAGAGGAAAACTACAGAGTGATTCCCAGCACAAGAAAACTACATAGTGATACCCAACAGAGGAAAAGTACAGAATGATACCCTGTAGAGGAAAACTACAAAATGATACCCTGTAGAGGAAAACTACAGCATGATACCCAGCAGAGGAAAACTACAATGATACCTAGCAGAGGAAAACTACAATGACACCCAGACCAGGCCACCAGATATGGCCCGCATATGCTTTATATGCATATGATGTTTTATTGTAGTCATTTGCATACTCGGGATGACTTAAATGACACCATTCTTGCAGCATTCGGTCAGCTGTGGTGCAGGGACGGGGGTGTTCCTGGTAGTGAACTCTTCCACCATCATCGTGGTGAGAGGGCCGCGGGCGTGTCTGTGGGGGTCGCTGTACCTGGACAGTCACGGGGAGGAGGACAGGGACCTCAGGTAGGGCAACGATACCTGTTCTAGTGCTAATGTCCCATTGCTTAGAGAATACATAAAGGAACTGTAACTGTAAGTAAACTGTAACGTTTTCTTTCCATCCTATTCAGGCGAGGTCGACCTTTGTACCTGAGCGAGGACAGGTTTCGAGTCCTGACTCAACAGTGGATCAGTCACAGTTTTGACCACATGTGCAAACGCTGGCTGTGGCACCACAACAGACTGTAAAGGGGGAGGGGGGCACTACTGTCACTACCACAGATTATACAACACAGGAAATATCAATAGCAAAATGTACTTAAAGTACTGTATTATGTAAATTTGTACTTCTTCATAAACTAAAACTAGCTACTGATAAAGTTATATACTTCGAACTAAAGTACATTTATATAACTGTTCAGTTTTGACATATACCTGTCTTGTTATATACATGTCTTGTATACCTTGATATGATATTATACTGTAGTATCACAAGTTGTGGAAAGGGGCATTGCAACGTTTGTCATAGACGATTCAATTTCAAGCCATAGGTAAGAACTGTGCCACTGTGCACTGTAGGTCCAGTACAGGGGATAAGCATTAAGATTTTGCATAGATTTACTTTTATTTATACTTTTGTCATATAGTTGTCTGTGATGAGAGTACAAAATGTATACCTTAAAGTTATAAAACTAACTGAAGTAAAAAAGCACCATAATTGTAAATAAAAGAGAGCAGTGAAACTAAGGGTTGAAACTGAAAGACTAGAAGAATGTGGTTGTTCTGCTTAAGTTTGTACCATCATAAATCTGGGTGATCTTTTTTATGATTGTAGATCTCATTGTAGAACGACTGTTACAGCAAAACTATAAACCTCAGATATGTAGAGGGATTTGAAGATCTTTGAGAGAAATCAGCACAGTAGTTTTACTTAGTAGTTTTTCCTACAGTGGTAGTAGAAAAAGTTAATATATGCATATTTTAGTTTCTCTGACATCACAGAAAAAAGAATACTTGCCAGATCTAGAGCAGAATATCAAACCTGAATTATAGCTTAGTTGAAATGATGTGTACAAAGCAAATTGCTATAATCCTTTTAATACATCTTTCTTATATCTGATGTAATGTAATGTGCTAACTTGTAAAGGTTGTATGTGTAAACCATGCAAATGGTTTATATAATACTGTGGCCAGGGTTTCCAAAATGTGATTTCCAGTTTTCTGTGACGATGTTCTTTTATAATGACATACCTATAGGGGCTTCCAGCATTAGGTAACCAACTTGAGGCAATGTAAAACACTGCGAAATGTTTTTTTTCACGTTTCAATATCAGTAAAGGTTTAGAGAAAGACAAGGAGTACTTCAAAGTGGTTTGTATGCATTTTTATTTCTGTTTTTATGAATTAAGACACAGTTGTGAGAAGAAGATGTGTCTGACAGGAATGAGGAATAATCTTAATATTGTACACTGAGCTTAAGGTCTAAAACAGCAGCAATTATTGAATTAGCATATACTTTTCTTTAAATGTGGATTGTTCAGTTAAAAATGCAGCCGTTTGGCACACAATTCAACACTTACTCTTGGTATCTCCATGTTATGCTGCTGCTATAAGGAAGAAGTGAACGGTGTTTGTACATGTGAATGTTATTATTGTAAATAAAATCTCTTGTGAACAGGAATTGCTTGTTTTCATCAGTAGGCCATGTTGATTTGATTAATATGGATGACATACTCTGGGAATCCCAAAACTGCTTCGAGGCAAGCATGCAAAACATTTGGCAAAAAAAAAAACACCTTCATTATGAAATCTACGTGGTCAAGAAGGTTCAACAAATGACTAAACACACAGAGTATGGTAAGGCAAATGATATATTCTCCATTTTCATTTCTTCAACTTTTCCTGTTTACTTTGGAATTGATAGTGCCCGGGACATTGTGACTGACTCTGTAGGCCAAATGATGGGTAGGAAGTTGAAAAGGATATATATACATGTATAGATGAGCTTGAGGTTGATGATGATTGGGCTGATCCTTGCCTGCTATAGCAAGATTAGGTGCACTTGTGTCATCTGCCAAAAGTCATACTTGAGCAGAGGAGCACGCTTTTACTTTTTAAAACCTCTCAAGGTTTAGGGGGGAAAGATTTTCCGATGAAAAATGATGCCAAAAGACCGCCATTTTCACTTGGAATTAAACCCATCACCTATAGATAAGCCACAAAACGACTGATCTTATTGGAAATAGAAAACCCTCATGTATAATCAAGAAAAGTATAAAGAAAATACTAACACCGAGATTTTCACTATAGCCCGTCGCGCGAGGCATAGGGACAGCACCCACAGAACGCATCAGAGTAGCCGTGGCGACTCTTGATTCGGGCTTACATTGCATTACCCTCAGACAAGAGGGTAATGCAATGTAAGCCCGAATCAAGAGTCGCCACGGCTAGCATCAGAGGTGAACGTTTACATATTGATAATCTTATTATGGACCAATAAAATGTTTCGTCACATCAGATCACATACACAGAAACACGAAAACAATGTACGTTCATCCGACATACGTAAGAGTACTTTTCTGGAAGCCATATTTCAAAGAACAAAGAATAAGTGGTAAAACTTGCGTCTGATGGTGTTTTCAACACCAAGGACAGACCCAATTCCAGAACCGGTGCACACCAATTCTTCCGCGACAGGGAAAAAGTGCGCGGTACAAAAAGTAACGTAAGCTTTCGATGGTTCAGCTTTGAGTTCACATTTCTCATGATCTGCTACAAAATGTCATTAAATACTAATTTGGTTGAAAAGTGAAAGAATGGATGCGTTTTGGGTGAAAATTGATTTCGGACCCGAGGCTTACTTCTGGGTGCCCTTCCGCCTTGGTTGCGGTGCTTCGGTTAGACCCAAATTTACGCGATTAAAATCGGAAACTCGAGAACTTAGTAAACATTTAAAAAAAGATGTGATTCATCGTTTTCATTCACATATTTTACTGTTTTTGTTTGAAGAAAATTTACTGATTTTACTTCCAGATCATACAAGGCAGAAATTCTTTTTTTTTTAGAATTGAGAGTTTTCTGGCACCCCTACAATAACGTCGCACTTGGTACAGTCCTTTCATTTCGCACATGTCGCGCTGAGAGAATGTTCTTCAGTCACCCACCCCCGAATTTGTGGACAAATTTTTTCAGTTTCTTGTTCCCGAATATTCTTCCTTTCTGCGTTTTCGGATAACATATGGAGTATTCGGAACTTCTCTGTGGATTTGGGCCGGTAGTGTGTCTGTTTGGAGGAGAGAACCTGTATTTTCTGACAGGACATGTGCTTGTGGGGAAGAAGACAAAATGGCTACTGTTGTGAGGACATGCATTTCTGCTGGTGAGGGGAAGACTTCGTAGGAGAGAGAGAGAGGTAAAATTCCAACATATTTAGTCGAAAAAAGTGAACATGAAATGCATGGCAAGTTGTATCCCCGAAAAAATCTTTAGTTTTATGGACATTTTTCACAATTTTCGATGTTTGAGCGTTTAAATATTGTTGTTTTCTTCTTCTAAAGTTTGACCTCATTTATCGAGTTTATTTCAAAGTCGCCCTATCCTATCCTATTGTACTGGACAAAGCCCTCTTGGTAATAAAAACAAACAGCTTCCGTGTATTTGTACAATATTTTTGAGGAGATAAACGCAGAAAAAGTAAGAAAATTTGACTGCCTCGTGGCGAGGGGACCACCTGTGCAACTGCGGCACACGTGGGTTTGATTGTTCCCGCCTTGTTGAACTGCACTGTAGATGCTTATTACTGCTAAACTAATTAGCGCTAAGGTCCGTAATTGTGGTCTTGTATTCTAGTTTTTTTTCGTAATTGTTTTTTTAATAAGTATTGATAAATTTCAAATTTAGTAAAACGTGTAGATTTTGAATTCCAACTTGTTTTGAAAGGCGGTCTTGGCGGCAGATTCTTTTACAGTAATTTTCCATAATTTATTTGCAATCTAGTCCACAAAGGCTACTTTTAAGGTAACGTTTCTTACTGCTAGTTAAGGTATTGTTATTCAAGACAAGTGTGTAACATATAATGTTGTATAGTTAGGTGGCTGCTGACTGATGGTGACTCCTGTCTGGACCTGGTGATTTGAAGACACCAGAGGAATGTAAGGTGAGAAAAATCTGTATTTTGTATTCTACCTACCATTTACTATAGCTAATGATGTTATTTGAGACAAGTGTGTAACTTATAATGTTGTAAAGTTAAGTGGCTGCTGACTGATGCTGACTCCTGTCTGAACCTGGCAAGAGAAGATTGGACCAGACCAGACCTGGTGATTTGAAGACACCAGATGAATATAAGGTGAGAAAAATCTGTATTCTGTATTTTACCTACCATTTACTTGGTAGTATTTGAGACAGGTGTGTAACTTGTAATGTCTGAATAGTTAGGTGACTGCTGACTGATGCTGACTCCTGTCTGAACCTGACAAGAGACGATTGAACTAGACTGGACCAGGTGATTTGAAGACTCCAGATGAGTATTAGGTGAGAAAAATATAAATTCTGCAATCTACTTACCATTTACCTTGTGTGTTTTAAACAAATATGTAACATATAATGTTGTATAGTTAGGTGGCTGCTGACTAATGCAGTAGTGAAGACTCCTGTCTGAACCGGACAAGAGAAGATTGGACCAGACCTGGTGATTTGAAGACTCCAGAAGAACATTAGGTGAGAAAAATCTAAATTCTGCAATTTACTTTACCATTTACCTGGTGTGTTTTTAAACAAATATGTGACATATAATGTTGTATAGTTAGGTGGCTGCTGACTGATGCTGACAAGAGAAGAGAGCAGACCAGGTGCACGTAATTTGAAGACCCGAGAGTGAGATGACGGCATCCACAGGTGAGATTACACTTACCAAAATCCATATGGTTCTAACACTCTTCACTTAGCTCTTGCAGTTCACAGAAAAAATCCTTTAACAGTCAATTCAGTGTTTTTTTGCATCACACTAATTATCCTTTCATATTGTGTAAAAGGTGTGTCCTGAGGGTCAGCTGTCCTGACTGGACATAGAAGAAACCTGTGATGATGGTGGTGACTCCTGTCTAAACCAGAGCAGACAAGTTCAGCAAACCAGTCGACTTCAAGACACAGAGTGAAGTGCAGAATCTGTACAGGTGAGACAATGGCTCACAACTTGGATCCTTTCTTGGATAATGTGAAGAATTCTGAGGATGAACATGTTTCCTGTAACCAGTAGTGATGTGCAGAAACAACTTTTTACAGTCTAAAACTTTCTATATCTATTGAAGTAAGGGATAGTTCATATATATGATCTTATCGTTACTTAGCTCATTCAGTGTTGCCTGGAGATGTTTTTTTTGCATCACAATAATTATCCTTTCAATTTTAAACAATTTCTAAAATCAAACCTTGCGTGTTGTGTGACACATTCTAGCAAGGCCAGTTACTGCTGTCAATATACTGACTTTTGTTTCTCTGTCTTCAAGATGTGGACCTGGAGACAAGGTTGGAGCTTGATGGGAGGAAGAACTCTTTTATCGGCAGAGCTGTGTGAAAGAAGATGGGGAGTTGTGAGTATGGTTTCTTTGTTAACAAAGACAACACTCCACACTCACACTTGCATTTCTCTCTTCTATGCCCACTTCATTCACTCTACTGTCTAGGGGTCCGCATACCCTTTTCTGTGAGCAATTTTACCCCATTATTAATCGTAGCTGGCCGCTTTTGTTCGATGTTAACCAATTGTCTGAAAATTCTTCCCAAAGTGTAATTCGTCACCCTAATTGCAATTAGGATGTTATTTGTTAGCCTGAATTGATCTTAAGATTCATTGAAAAATTCTTTGTATGGTCAACACCAGATTGGAAGACATCCAGTGAATACAACTTAAAGAACATTCCAAAGAAGTTGCTCCCAAAGCCTTAATACAAGAACTTACAAGTTAATTTACTATATGACGAGTTAATTGCAGGCCAGCCTGAATTTTCTGTTAAGCCTTGTCGGCCCTCCTAAATTTACTTTTGCCAGGATTCCCCCTGCAGACCCTCTACTGTCATCACATTTTTATTTCTTCTGTCAAACCTTGTTCTAATTGCACAGTGCATCACACGTTCCTGGACTCGTCTTTTATCCCTTTGGTTCCAACTTTCACCCACTCCCTTAAAACTCTTTGCATGCCTTCCCTGGGCATCTCTGTTTTAGACCCCATCACGTAACTCTTTGTCTGCAAATTGCACAGTACATCACACTTTTCTAGACTCATTTTCCAACACATTGGACCTTTACACGCAACATCTTTTCCTTACCTTTCATCCTGCTTTTAATGGCACGGTATGTCACTCTTTCTTGTGTTCCTATTCCGTCACGCTTTGGACCTTTTCACTCAACTTTCTGACACACTACTTTTACATTACTCTTTTCTTGCCTCAGCCATGAACTCTGCTTTTAATTGCACAGTACGTCACTCTTTCTTGTGCACCTCTTCCAACGTTTTGGACCTTTCCTCTCAACTTTGGAAACACTTAGTCACACACTTTCTACCTTGATGCAGCTGCTCCAAGCACTTAATTAATCTAATTAGATTTTCCCGCCAAAAAACTTAGAATTATTTTCCTTCACTCTGATGTCAGCCATGCATACAGTGTGCTCCCCAGGGGA